GAAGATTTTTGTTAGTTCACGATGGAATCCTACGGGGTTTGGGCACATGATCGGGGCACTTAGGCGAAGCTCAGTAAGAATGGTCCGGACTCGGGGTACTATGATGTAAGGTTACGGTAGGTACACCCCAGGGAGAGGATAAGGCACACCGACTTAAGCTCAGATTCTTCGCAGAATGACTCTGTTTCTGAAAGCTCAGGTGTACATGCACGAGGTTTGGGGCGGGCAAAGGACTAATCTTGACCCCCTCAAAAGATTAATGATTTTATTGATTTGTTGCATTTTTCATCCCAGGAATCTCAAATCTTACATACACAGGTTTTGTAACATGCTGATCACGTCTCAAGTTTTAACACCGTCTTCTTACACCTGTTTCTTGATTTTCACGAAAAATCCATCGTGATGATGCCGTAGCCCCACTGTGGGACAGTAGCGAACAGTGGACATTAATCGTAATCAGCACGTGAAACAACTCCAATGCACACTTCTTCACGAAAATATCTATGACGTAAGGTTCGTTCAAAATGAGTACCGTAACCTTGACGTATAGTGCAAAAACTGAAATAAATCACATTTTGATAACCAGCGCCTTCGATAATCCCTTTGGGGAAATTCTTGGAGAAGTTTTGATTTTCTTCCAAAAGACTACCATTTTGGACCATACGAACCGCGGGTGGGTCTTTTTTTGACAAAGCGAAAAAGGCTCTGGTCCGAAACGACAATAATCGAAAAATCGGCCTTGTCTGAATGTGTTAATGGTGTTCCTGACCCTGTGTTCCTTCTTCTCTGCAAGTCTCATGATCAATTACATCTGTGCAGCGATGTTTGACTTTCAGATAAGTTGGTAATTTGCTCATTTTCGAACTCAACAAGTGCTATCTCCTCTCGGTTTACAAGTACGTCTGTAAGCTGTAACTGTCTGGATGTATGTACGAAGAGTATATGAAATCCGTAAACAAGACTAGGGGCCCCGTGGTCTAGTACCTTATCGCCGGTGCATGAGTCTTCTGTCACATGTAGAAGTTACGACACATCTGCGTCATTGGATACATTTGCACTGAAGTAAACAAAATGGAGACCGTTTGCGAAAAACAACTTGCGCACAAAGATTGGAATACGCAATGCATCATTATAAATCTTGGTCATGATTGATTTCTTAAACTTGTTTGATAGAAAACGGGTGTAGGTGTCGTCCTTCTATGTAATCAGTCTTAGTATGGCACCTGACATACAGAAAAGAAAGTTCTTCTGTGTAAATAAAGATTGCGTGTCTGGTTAACCGAGTTCTTTCGGTCTTGGTGAATACGCTATTTTGAAAAAATGCCTTTTTATAGTTTTTGGGAGCGTCACGATTTTGACAAGAGATAACCTTCCGATTTTATTTTGAGTTTTTGAATACATTCCTAATCCTCAGGTAACATCTTCGCCAAGTTTAATTCTTGTCTATGTTTATTTTATCACATCCTAATTTGAAAAAAATCTAAACTTCAACTTTGCTCAATCTTTTTGTGTTTCTATGATTTGGACTGTTCTCTTTGGTTCTTTGAACATTTCGGTTCTCTCAATTTTTAACCAATCGGTCAGTGTCAGAATTGCTGTAAATTGATGGTCTACATTATTTGGACAATTAATGAGCGTGCTGATAATGAGAGAGAAGAGATAAAAAAAGATAGATGGTGTAGTTCAAGGGTTTAACAATGATAAAGACTTGTTACAATGTGTTGCACATCGGTTTCGCATAATGGTGTCAGTCGCATGTCAGACTCAGGAGTTTTTTTGATTAATTTGACTTTTCCATTTTTGATGTTACACTGATGTTTGTAGATAGAACTGAAACAAATTTGTGACACTGCAAACTCTGCATTGAAAAGATTTGTTGAAAAAATTGTCTTTTCTTGCTAGGCAACTCATTCAGTTTGCGATGGAGAATGACTTTAGCACAGCCATGTGTTTGTTACAAGACAATGACCTTACATAAAAACACGTCTCATAAAACGACCTGACCATTTAGAATTTGAGCTGTCAAATATAAAAATTTTTAAAGCAATTTGCTGCACACGACTTGGGCACGTATCACAGATGTACCAACAATGTACCCGTAATTTGACCGTAAATAACTTTCTCATTTCAACGCCTTTCGGGAGTGCTGGAGTACTTGAAGGACTGGCTTCAGCTCAATTGATGGTGCAGAAAGAAGTTGATAGTGCAGAGATATCAGTCACTCTCCATCACAGTTGGATTGTGGTATACGAGCTTCTAATGCACCATAGCTATCGTCAAAGCTGCGATACCACAGATATTCAAGAAATTTCCACTGAAGAAAAAATAAAAAATGGATTTTGGTGTAATGAACTGGATGAACAGTTATTGCAGTATACCTCAACTCTATAATGAAGAGTTATTCTGAAATGCAGCTTCTTTGGTTTGAATGACTAACTATCAACTTCTTATTGCATCGGTATTTGGAAGACACTTTGATGAATGTTTTTGTCGTAATCCTACAGTAATGAAGAGCATAGGTGTGTATCTAATAGCCCAAATCTATTTCGAATCCAGATTTCTTGAATGAAATATTCATTTCTGTGAGAGACAAAAGAAACAAAGTTGAGTTGAGCGAGTAAATGTCTCGGGACACCTCAACTAGTTTCCTGTTTGAAGTTAATAAGTATATAGCCAGAGATCCTGGTTTACGAAGGTCCAAAAAGCAATTCTGTTTTTCTGCGTACGAGCAAAAGTTCCTTCAACTCAGCCAAAGATCAAGTTCTTGCTTGTAATGCGGTGGAAAAATCTTTACTCTCTTTAATGATAAGAGATAAGAGTTACGTGCGGTAAACCGCTTTGGGTTCACTTTGATGTGTGGCTAGATTGTCCGCGTGATGCAATTCACAATCTGTTCGCATCTTTTCTTTTTTGAGACTGCGCGTATATAAAATCACCACTTGCTTTACTTTGAACCGGATCGGCTTCGCCCATGGCCTTGCACCAACGTCCTTCAATCATTAAGTGTTCTAGTCTTCAAATATATCGAGTCAAAACCTCCTGTCTCTCTCGAATCATTGTGTGGCTAATTTCTTGGATTGGAAGCTGCGCTTCTTGTGCAATCTAATTATTTTATTGAGGTGAGCATCCTGCTTAACTCTTGCACTCTTCAAATCTTTGATGCGGTGAAGTACCTGCGTCTTACGTCGTTGACTGAAAATCAGTCCCGCGATTTACTCCTGGGTACTTGCTTCGTCCTAAAATTCACGCACAACATCTCATTTCTCCTTCGATTTCCCACGCACTGGCATGCTTCATCAAGAATTTGCTGCGCGAATGCGATTTGGCATTGATCCAAGATCGCGCATGCGCGAAACAAAGCACATTCAAACATAGTTCTATGTGACTTTCCATAAATAGAGCACTTATTGCTCATATTGCTTTTTAGTGTAGTGGAAGTGTGTTTTGATGTAATCATCATAGAAAGAGAAATTGATTTGTCTTTTGTATCCTCGTTTCGGGTGATTTCGGTTGTTTCGTGTGTATAGATTTTGCGTTCTGCCTCATTTCTACATTTCGTAGTCTTAAGTTCATAACCTTATCGTGTTCCGTTTTAGCAAAAGAGTGGCTTTTCATGATAACTTCAAATCAGCTGTGAAATCTATCACTTGGGGCGGCACGAACGTTTGACCACTATCCACCCACCTGTCGATGCACTTTGCTGTCAGTCGTCGTGTTGTTCTCGCCAGCGTATCGACGTTGTTAATCAGTTCGCTCCTACATACTTCTAGTTTCTTAGTGACTAAATTTATTTCTGCAGTAACTGGTTCCCAGTTGACTTTTAACAATTGTTTCATCCATCCAGTTACCTGCTAATTTATTGCGTGAACGAGAAAGTGCATGTCAGTTTTTTCGCAACGCCTCGCCTTATTTATTACTCAGCAAGTGGATTTCATGGGGCTTCGTTTCAGATTGTGCAATATCACGTCGACAGAGTAAACTATGCCTCTTGAGCCAATGGATCTTATGTGGTACGTTTAGAGATTACTTCCTCTATATCTGTACAAAAATCTGCTTGCTCGATATTGATAGTCTTGCTTTCGTTTTCGGCAGCGCAAAAACTCGACAAATGAGTTGATTAGGGATCTTGCATTAAATTCTATTATTAGCAGTTATATTTTGTTGTTACGATGGGTGCTGAGCAATTAGGCTGTTTCTTTAGCCGAGCTCCACAGAATTGTAGGACTTCGAATCTTATAATGGAAACCCCGTATCCATTTGTCAGAGATTGCTTCCTCTGTAATCATTCTCTTGCGATAGGAGCGCAGGAAGCATATGGTGCGACGCATTCGTAAATCATACGATTTCGAGCTGGATGTTTTACTTCCCATTCAGTCCCATTATCAAGCAATTTCAGTGTTTGCATTTCATTAGTTAGTGAAGAAACAACAGGTTGTTTCGCAATCTGATGTTTGAATATTTCTTCTAAGCCATTGGAATCTTGAAGCATTGTGCTCCATGCGATATAGACGAGGGTTTGCTAGCGCGAAGAGTACGAGGGAGAATGTAAATATTAGTTTACATAATAAAAATCAAGTACTAGTTCCATTTCTAAATCACTGTGACAAAATTTGTAGTGCCTTTTCTATGAGCAGATGACATAATGTGCGACAGCTACTTTACGCTAAGAGTATTACTTTAAAGTCCGAGCACTTGGCTGTTGCTTCGTTTCTCATGTGAAGATGCGTTTTTAGCGTTAGAAAGAAAGGAATGACGAAATTTTGTTTGTTTTGAAATGTCGCTTATTCTGCTTCTGTGATGTTTTATCACATCATGGCGAAAGAAAATGAATGCGCAGAAGGGCCTTGCTATTCAGCAATTACCGTGACGAGTAAAGTTCAGTCTGGCTTTACCTAATATAGCTTCATCACATGTCTTGTGACTTCCCCATAGTGCCTCCACAGGGACAACATAGCGTTCACGAGCCTCGTGCGGAAAGAAATGTTCGTTTTCTGGCGTCCGCGGCTGTGCCACGTGTTTGTTGATTAGAGGCTAGCCGCACACAGAACGTTCATCCTTCGTACATTTATTGCCCGCCTATCGTCCTGTCAGTTCGGTGATTCCACTCATTTTGAACTGTGACTTTCTTCTAGCTTGCTCAAAACAAGAAAATGGCTACCGCTCCGGCATATCCAAGCTGGTTAGTTACTCACGTTACAGTCTACAGTGCAAATATTCTCATGGAATCGTAAAGTGCTTGTTGAGCTGCTTCAGACCCAGGCATACTTCACTTGATTTTAGTCGCCATGCGATATGGCAATTTGCCAGATGTCTTCAAATTCAACAATGGCAGACTTTAAATGCATAATGCATTGTTTAACATTCCTAGATTGCGATCCTTCTTCCATATCCAAAACGCGCTTACGATGAGGTATCAATTGGAGCGTTGACAAATCGCGTCGCGGCTGAAATCGCGCGAAGTATGCCCGAGACCTCAAGCAATGTTTACTTAGGTATTTTTTAAATTGCTAGTATAGAATTTCACAATATATAGGTTATCTATGCTTACCTCGACTTTTTTGATAGAAGACGCATGAGGCAGAAAAACACTCCAAAGCTTTTTATGCGCACCTATTGGGGAGTATTAATTAGGCGGTAGTGGGCTTCGTTGGTGCCCCCAGTTGCGGGATTTCTGGTCATACGCGATCGCGATGATAGATAGCATTGAATGGACTCGATTAGTAAATTTGAAGAAGTGGTAGGTGCTCAGAAACGGTCATGTATCATGCTTTTCCCAACCGCATGTTAAGGACTTTGAGATATTTACCAACTTTTTTGGTTTAGCCTCCGCGACAAGTCTGTAAGGACAATTGCACCCGTGTACGATTTTAGTTTGTCTGCATCTATGGCCATTCTTTGGCGCGTGACTGAAATAGCACCATAGTCGTACTTTGCTTTTATCTATATGTAAACCATTTGGTGCCTGCGGGCATAGCCAAAAAGAAAAAAGCAATAAAATATGTGAAAAAGTACATCTGAAATAATGAGTGGTTTGTGTTGCTGCCTTCCATGCGGTGAATTTTTGAAAGAATGACTACATATAGTTGATTCGTTGACCGCAGGACTGGAAATCACTGCGGAGCACGCGCCTCGGGGTGAAACGCTTGCCCCAGTACAAATTCGCCATTGTAGAAGGCGTGCTCTCGCAACATTTCAGCTGCGCCCTGGTCCGCAACGTTTGAGCAGTCCGTGCGGTCAGCGAGTATTCGGCACGAGGCATCGATGCTTACCACCTCGTTTGTGGTTCAGTGTCCGCAACAAGTCTGCGACAAGGACAATTGCACCCATGTACGACATTAGTTCGTCAGCGTTTATGTCCATTCTTTGGCGCGTGACTGGAATAGCACCATAGTCGTACTTCGCTTCCGTTACTATGAAAGCACTTATCTATTCTGCAGACATATCCATTCAGAAAAAAAAAACGCTATAATTTTTTGAAAAGGGCATTGTGAAGAGTGGTCTGTGTTGCTGCCTTCCATGCGGTAAAGTTTTGAAGAAACGATGATTTAGAACTGGATAAGACTGGAATCCTGTATTTGCCTTGAAAAGCTCTCTTTGCCCCTGCAAACAGTTCCAGTAAGTAGATGATTGTTTACACAAGCAGCAGTGTGAAACGCTAATCTTCACTGAAGTAATCACTCTTGACTGAACGAGTTGTTTTTTTTTTTCACCCTCTTCATTCCGGATTGTAGAAACGCACGTCTCACTTTTCTTTGTCTTGTTTGCTGCGAAACCGGTCACTTTATATGTCAACGCTCTTTGAAAACTAAGTTTTTGCAATCCCAATAAATCAGAGCATTTGAAACAGGTCTTATCTGGCAGGTTTTGTTTTTGTTTCAGATGTTCGCTGATAAGAAGGAAATGTAAACATCAAACTTTGGCACATGTCAATTTTAATTTCATAGAGGGCTGCAATTTGCTTCCCTCAAACAATTAATTCGAGTTTATTATTGCTTTCATGTAAAAATAAACTAGCATGAAGACATTTTTTTAGTTGGTTGGTTACAAACATAGCTGTCTATAAGTAAAGCGATAACTGATAGCTGGCAGTAGTTGATGAGCTTCTGAAAACTACTCCTAGTCGCGTTCGATGATGGCATTTTTCGACAAAAAGGGTACAAGCTACACAGTGAAAATATGTTATTAGCAGTGACGGTCTGAGAAAATTTTTGGAAGAGGGTGGGAGGAGCGGGAAGGGAAGGCACGAGCTCTCTTTGATTGGAAGGGCGTGGTTAGCCGTACCTCCGAAGTCTTTTTTGAGGTGATTATCTACAAGCGAGAAAAAAGTAATTTTGTAACTCATGCAGGCACGCAACTCTCCTGTGTCCTCGATCACTGCTTAGTAGATGAAACTGATGCTTTCTTCTATTGTTCATTGTAGCAGTCGTTACTAGGACGGTCACCGCTGTCTTGATATATGGACGACGAATGAGAAAAATTTTTAGGCATCATAGATCTACCACAAGCGGCAAAATTATTTGGACAGCTGTCTGGGTAACCTTTTGACTTTATGAGCTCACCGTTCCTCGGTTCGCAGACAAGCATTTCGCGTACAACTGTGCTCGTTAGTCGTACTTTGAACTCAAAGTGAGATTGATGTTGCGACCTACTCAGCGCGTTGGTCTCACAACACTGAGACTTCTCTGCGTACACCGTGAACCTGAGTACAGTAAGAAAAAACTTTGTTCCCATTCACCTTTGAATTTTGTGTGTTCGATGGAGGAAAAGTGTTGCCGTGTTTGTGAACATTTACCGACCTCAAAACATGTTTGGTGATTGAGTAGCAGCGTCGCGCTATTTAATCAAAGTCGAAGTTCGTAATAGTGAACTGGAGCAATCGTCTTATAAACCTAGCCTATTCGTTGAGAAACTAAGTTTGTTGCTGAGATCAGAATACGTCATGTTCCGTGAAGAGCTGTCCAGCAGGTTGTCAGCTTTTTCGCAATAATCTGCTTTTTATTCATTCACGTGAGATCTTTAAAGATATTATCTTGACAGCACGGGGTCGGTAAAGCCTTACCTTAATCCTCTTTGCGATAACTCATCTCACGCCATGCATGTACTCTGTATTCATGTCTTTTTTCTAAGTAGTCTACAAGCAACACAAAATAAGGCGATTGTAAAGTTTTTTTTGTTGACAATGAGACGTTTGCATTGGCAATAAACTTTGTCCCTAATGCGATTTGTCTTGCATTTGAGAACAAAAAAGCTTTTCATCGTTGAAGCCACATTTCGACGTCAAGCAGATCCTTATCGTACATATACGAGCTTAGAAAATTCGAAACCGTGATACAAAGGGCAGAGATTACGTTTTTCAATGGTCATTGTGACTGATAACAATATTGAGAAGGATTTGACAGTTGGGAAGTAGACTTTAGGTCGGATTTTCTTCGAAAGAACATACTCTCATGCCAGTAGCGGACCGAAGGGCATGAGAGTATGACCCTGAGAATGGGTCGCAAATCTTTGAGAGTTACTTGCATGGGTTATAAACATGTGCAAGTGACTTGCTCACATTTGTAAATGATTAAAATATTTCTAGAGATTTTCAAAATTAGAGATTTTCAAAAATTCATGTCAATTGTTTAAATTTTTTTTTCGTGTGGAGGGGGCATGGTTGCGCCGCGCACCCTTTATAATTCCGGGGTCATGCGCCCGCAAAATGTTTTTTGAAGCACCCCTAAAATTTTTTAGAGTGCACCTTCATTCAAAAAATTTTTGTCGCGCTCCTCCAGGTTTTTGGCTCTCACTATCTTATGCAAGCATTCTGTTGGCAATGTGCAGCTGAGAAAGAATAAAACCTTGGCAGCTGACATGTTGCTTGCTGGATTACGGCACATAGCTACGTCTTGAACTTCCCATTCCCCTTCGAAAAAGCCAGAGTATCACGTGGCTCACAAGCTTGATGAAGAGTTGCTTTTAGCTCGTCTCCAAGAATGTTTTGTCAATCTTATCAAGTGGGTGGATTCCGGCTTATATGATTAGGACTTATTCCATCACGAGATCAGTAGTTGTTTTTTTCTTAGTAAAGTGTTCCAGTAAATGAGGGTGACGTGATTTACTGGTTTAGTCAGTATTCCTGTTTTTTCGTTACCCACTTGCTTAAACAGATGATGTTTGGTGTGCGACTGAAGCGGGAATCGATACGTGGGAGGAGAACCGACGCGCATAACCACATCTCTTTCGCTTGCCTATAAAAAGCAAAAAGTAATCTGCCCTCTTTTTTTCTCCATTTTTTTGAATATGTAGCATGGTTTATGCTTTTATATGCGGTATAGGTCATGGTTGATTTAAGACGTTTCAAATGGCGATATTCCTTTTACAAAGGAACAGCTTATGTTACAGCTGAATACTCTGCTCTTCATACTCCTTGAACAATAGGCCTTCCAAAAAAAGTACATCTTCTTTCATACTCTAGAATTATTGCTTGCTTTTCGGCACCGTTCAGTCGTTTTCTTATCACAGCGGTGAATACTGGATATTCACACGAAAAATCGAAACGTCTTGCTTTCGACTGTTTTGGTTAACTTGACATACAGCAAATTCCTCAAATCTAGAAATGCTCACTTTCGAAAATTTGGACGTATATGGTGCACTAAGGGATAGTCATGAACTTATGAATGTTTTGTCGTGCCAAGTGGAATTTTATTGTCGTAATAAAGCTGGGAGACAAATTTGCTATACAATGAGGTGTTCAGGTGTTTCCATGACTGGCTAGGGCTTTTTCCTTTACATAGCGCTGCTGCAGCGCTTTTTTTTTGCAAGAAAGCTGTAAAGTTTCTTCGTGAATTTTGGCCTAATGCAAAAATCTTAGCGAATTTATTGAGGAGTTTTCATTCGAAAAGGATGATCATTCTAATGGCAAGAAGCAAATGGCAGATATATGTGGATTGCTGCAGTAGGAAGACTTGTTTTAGTGTGGTTTTTATTGCATGATTGTTGCTGATTTGACTGGGTTACTAGAAAGAATAGTGAACAGTGATGCATGCTGATCTTAAACCAGGAAATCTTGATGTCATGGAAGCAGTATGATGTGTGAGCACGTGCAAGTGTGACAGTCATACACATCCCATTTTCCACAGGAATGTTATGTGTATGACAAAGTGACCAGAAATCTCTTGCAGCTAAAAGCTTCTTATGAAAACAGCGCTAAATTGAAGTAGCAGTTTTTGATGGGAATATATAAGTTCGAAAAAACCAATATCGTAGACTGACTTTAATGGCCTATAAAGATTCGCTTGTTGCCAGAAGGCAGGGAAATTGCTTCACTTTCTGGATATTCTCGACTTTTGCTAGCTATTTCGGCATAATCACTGCTATCGCTCACATGCAATCACAAAATCTACCGGGAGCTCTTTCTGTAGAAATCATACTAATTTGTGACAGCGTAGAGGCTGGATCAAATTTTTTATCTAATGTCCTCTGAAATGTTCACTGAAAGAAAAGGTAGAAATCAACTGTGATGTTAGCAACCTTTCTCACAACTTTTTCTCTAACTTTGTTGTGGAGAGTGGAATCAATACTCTTTAATTTTACATGATTCCAGTTTTCCCAAACTTGTTTTTATCGGAAATGTCATATCATACTGATGCATATTCTGCTTTCTCAGGCACAGTTTGCGCACTTTTCATAAAGGTAAGAGATCGTGAAACATCAAGCACTTGCCTATGATTCTAAAACTTTGCGGAGCACGTTAAAATGCTTCTGCTTCCTTGGGCCTCCATACTCACAGTGAGAATACAGTGAGAATTAGTCCCACATTCGCGTTTCTCATCTCGAAGTAAAAATAACTCTTGGCACATGCTCAAAAATGTGATCAATGCTCCTCTTTCTCTCTCTTGCATTCACGAAGCCTTGTTTACGGCAACGCACCATTAGCAAGGGATTGTTTTTGTGAGGAGTGTTTGGGGGGAGGGGGGCAAAGGGGCGTGTGGAACTATAAATACGCATAATTTTGCTCTAGTAACCCACTGAGATACCCCAGTATCACAGTTTTCGTCTTTACAGGATGTCGAGACCACCAACTGTGAGTGAATTGGTTGGAAATTCTAACATAACGTTCAGACCGGTTGTACCAGCACATTCGGAAGATACGGTAGATCACACAGAATCTTTAAGCATAGTGTAGAACGAGTTTTTATTATACTGATTTTATAGATTCGTGCTGATTATGACACTGATACGCTTTGGAAGCCAAGACGCATTACTCAGCCACAGCGTACTTGCTCCGTCGAATCCAGCGATTCCGAGGGACTGAGAAGATCGTCGGAGGCCCATATCAGGTAGTATTAGGTTGAACTTAGTGAATTAGTGTATCTCATCTTTTTGCTCCAGAACCGCTCCGATTGACGTCCCCCGTCCCCGTCGAATCAGTCTTTCCGAAATGATCTTCGGTTCCCCAACAACGTTCAGCTGGGGACAAACCAACATACAACATTCCCTCCCAGAAGAGAGAAGAGCTTCGGTCACTGAGGTGGGAGAAACTACATAGATTCTATTTTAAGTTTTATTCGTACCTCTTCTAGGATCCAAGATTCCATGATCTGATCAAACATCAGAACAAAATTCTTGGTGATGGGCATTAATTTTTTGCGACGCTCCGTCGAAGCTTGATGTACTTAATCGTATTTGTGTATATACTTGCTGCAGTTGTTTACTGATGTATATAGATAATTAATATTCAAAACCACAAAAGATCATTCTATTTTTTAGTATGATAGAACTATCCTGCGATTTTAGAATGGTAGACTAATTGACACAAGTACATCATACGTTGTTTCGGTGACTTGTATATATATTGCGGGCCTGTACAAACGGTGATCCAATGTATATTGGTAATTTGTTGATTGTTATCGATATTATATTTATTCATGAAGCTTCCATGCTTGTTTATCAGCGTGTTTTATACAACGAGGGGAATAAAATCACGATGGACAACAAAACGACTATAGTTGGTTTGGTGGGGAATGAATCGCTTCACATCAAGTGCAGTGTTGGAAGTAGAAACTAAATTTTTTCTATTCGAGTCATCAAAAGTGGTAATATGACATGCTACCTTTCACCTATGCACACAAAAGTGGGAATAGGAATTTATAATAATAAATGGTGGCGTTTGCTGAAACTTCTTCTCGTTGAGATGGTTCTATCATCAAGAATCAGCTGACTATGTCGTTGACAAAAGTCGGGTAGATTACCACGTTGCTGTGATGATTCTATGTATTTTAGCGTATTCCTTGCTGAAAAATCTTGTCAAGAGCTTAGACTGCTTTCTGATAGTCTTCGAAGGCTTTGATCGCATCTCGCATAGCTGTTTATCAATCTTAACCTAAAAAACGCTTCTGGATTAGTTGCTCGCAAAATCGAAAATGGTGGGTGTGTAGATTAAGTATGCCTCTTGAAAAACAGTTAATCTCTGTGGTTGTTGAGCATGTCTAGGTATTTCTCGCTGTAGAATGTGGCTCAAAGCATCAGGGACCATTTTTTTATTATTGGGAATTAGAGAAGACGTAAAGAATTTTCTGATATCTTTACATCAATTAGAAGATAATCATCATGCTGTAAAGAAACTAATTGTATTGCAACAGAAGCAATCGATTTTTGGAAGAATGCTATAAACTCGCTCCAGTGATATGAACTTTAAAAATTCCTGGAAATAATTCAGATTTTTTAATTTAGTATATCTACTCAGCCCTATTACTGCGGTCGTTACGCAAAGTAAAAGGTTCAAAGGGCAGAAACTTCGTAAATGAGAATCTTTAATGAGAAATTAGAATGTTCAGTTGTGTAGAAGAATGTCTACCGATGTATGGCTACCATCTATAAGTAAGGGAGAATCCACTGAAATCACTGCAGCGGCTTTGAAATTTCAATATCACTGTTTGCTTTTATGGATCATGCGATACCGTTCATAAGTATGAGAAGAAGCGACAATATTCCCACAATCCGCCAGTGGAAAACAATTTTTTTGTAGATCACTTCTCATGCCAAAACTCCGTTGAAAATGGAGTTTTTGAATTTTGATGCGGGTATACCATTGTGAATATGTCGATATTGCACTATGTTAGTTTGTCGATATGTATCAGTGGCTAGCGACCCGTAGGGTCGCTAATAAGTGGGGGGAGGGGGAGGGGAGGGCAGATACTTTGGTAACTGTCTGCGTGCAACCGAGAATAGCAAGGAACTGATCCATTTTCTCAACGATCTTTGGCGCAAGTAAGTAGTGGTAGAAGCAAGATCATACTCTCAAGGAAGCTTTTGACAATTAATTTCCAAATCTGTCCTTCTTCTTAAAAACTTTACCCCAGATACCACAGTTCCCAAACATGGGAATCACCTAAGCAGTCATCTATGTAGAAAAACTGTCAGTCCGAGATTTAAGCTAACTCTCAGGAACTGTGCAACGCCCGCAAACACACCGACCTTCAAGACCATTCACCGTCCTATAACTCTCCTTACAATGTCTCACGAAGTCTTTTTTTTTTGAAGCAAGATAAAAGCTCACTCAAAGCTTTCTCCTGGACAATTTTAGCAGAAATGTCCTGCCGCATAATCTTCTGGATCTTCCTTCCCCCAAGACCAAGCTCCCCTTGCTTTTTCTGTTTTCAGGAGCAGAAGAAATATTTTCGCGAGGTAAAGCGGCCAAAAGTGAATATCCGACTTGTATAATTTAACATCAAAAGTAAGGAGCTCTTAGCAGAAATGTTTTCCGCTTGAAGCTCTTGGAACCTTCCTTCCCTCGACCAATCTCCCTTTGCTTCTTTGTTATAGGAGGCAGAGGTATGATTTCTGCGAAGTAAAAGAGGCCAAAAGTGGATTTCAAGCGTGCTTTTGAATAGTTTAGCATTGAAACTGACAAGGGACGTCCGATTAGTCGAAGTGGCCTCTCCAGGTGAGTCTTATATATTTTGAAGTGCATCAAACGGTGATTCCAAATCTGACTTCATTATCTGCCGAGCGCTTCTGCATGCTGAGTTATGAATATTTTTCTGATGTGAAAAGTGAACGCATAGTCTAGGTAAATCAAATTTTACGGTCTTTTCAACATTCGAATAGAGCAGTCTTCAGTATGAGAAGGTATTGCTTTAGACATGAGACAGATGAAGTTTCGTCAGAACTGCTTAAATGGGGTGCAATTTGAGCAGTTCTGAATTCTGTTCTAATTATGCATTCAATTTTTCAAAGCAAAAAACGCCCATAACTCGACGTCCAGAGGCGCTCGGCAGATAACAAATTTGAATCAACGTTCATGCTCTTTATAGTCGTATCATTTCATGTGAAAAGGCCACTTCGACCAAACGGACCTCCCTTGTGAGACTGAGCAGAAACGCACCGCCGCGAGAAGGCCTTGGAGCTTTCCTTCCTTCGAGACCAAGCTTCCTTTGCTTTTTTTGCTTCCATTAGCAGAAGTACGATTTTCGCAAAGTAGACGCGGCCAAAGTGGATCTCAAGCAAGTTCTTGTGAGATTCAACGCTGAACTTAGAGAATAAACTATGTCACTACTGCTGTCATGAACTCTCGTTCATGATGAACATTGATTTAATGGCAAGCGCGCGACGCGCGTCGGCGAGTATAAAAGCTGCCTAAAGCCAAGAGCGAGGCTCTCTCGCGCTTTCATTCTTTTAGCTTACAACACAGGGTCAGTCCTCTAAGCTTCCCCTTCTTTATGTCCATCGTGTCTGACTGTAACTACTATTGAAACAGATAACGCTCGCCGGAAAGGGAATGGAAGTAGGTACCTAGTATTGTCCCAGCTGAGTTATGAGAAGTAATAGAAGTTGTTGAGTGGGAATGGAAGGAAAGTAGGATGCTAGTAGTAGGCGGTGTTTACTGTAACAATAATGTTATTTTGGTTGTGTATTACATATATATTTGGACTGTAAACGCAGTTCAAAACAGTAGCGACCCTAGGGGTCGCTAGCAAGTGGTTCGGGGCAGATGCAAAATTAGGTTTAGTTGTGACTAAAAATATCTTCACATAAAATTTCCTACTCCTTTCTGCAAATATTTTTGTGAAAAAGCATTTCAAAAGGAGAAAAGAAGCAATAAACTTCACAAATCATCCAGCATTTTTCGAAAGCCCTGCCATAACCAACGAGATTAAGGAAAATTTTCTTTCGCAAGATCAAAGGAAAATTTAATTACCATGCTTTTCTGCAAAATCCCCCCCCCCCTCTTCTCAAGGAGACTCATTCGGATAATGAAAAGATTCCACCCTCCTACCTTCTCGAAAAAATTTGCTTCGTCGTGTTTTTCTCCACAAATTTCATGGATTGTTAGAAAATTGATAGAATACACATCGTTCTAAAGTAGCAGAACATCCATAACAGTGATGTATACTACAATGAACACAGCTTTTGTTTCAAAATCAATTTTGATGGCAACAAAATCAGTTCTCTCAAAACTTGACAAAAAACTCCAAGTTGGGATTTCGTCAAATTGAAAATATGAAATTTTACTACAAAAAGAGACCCCATCTCTAAAAACGATGACCTGGATTCTCTTGCGCTATTCTGTCACTATATTTGGCGAGGTCTAGGTCAATGTAATCAACTATTTTTTGAGCGACCCTCAAATTGTCCTACGTTCTACCTAAGGACCGTCAATTATAAAAACTCCGCTTAAAGATATAAAAATCTGTTTCTCTGCCTCGAATTGCCCTACGTGCCGCTTACAGACCGATATCATTTATTTGAAAGAAAGAGTATGCCCTAAGTGCCGCTTGAAGATTGTGTTCATGAAAAAACCAACCTTACTCTCCTACAACGAAATCAAGTGGCTCACAACGTAATATCAATTGCCTACGTCACTTAAGGTCCAATTATATGATTTGCCCCAAAAGGTACAAAAATTTGTTTTCCTGCCCGATCAAGTTGCCCTACGTGCCGCTTACAGACCCGATATCATCTATTTAAAAGCATCAACGGGACCCAGTTACACAAGCAAAAGCAATGGTCAAAAATAAATGCTTTCAAAGGCACCAGCAAGACGACGTTACTCCACGCTCTCCTCTCTGAAAGCAGAAGAACGATTATCCCTAACCTGCCCGATCAAGTTGCCCTACGTGCCGCTTACACACCGACACCTATTCGGAAGCACCACCGGGACCCAGTTACACAAGCAAAAGCAATGCTGGTCAAAGACAAATGCTTCCGGAAGCACCAGAAAGACGTTACTTCGCGCTCTACTGTCTGTAAGCAGAAAAAAATTATTCCAGTTGAACGTTTTCGGAGTAGTTTTTACCAAGAGTTTTATGAGAAATACATATTTACTGAATTATGTTGTTACGCAATTTGGCTTCATTTCAAAAGCAAATAGGAGCACAATATATTTTACCAACACATTCTGGGATAGCAAGCATGAAAAAAAAAACCGTTTGTACAAGTAACGCACCCGGACGCTGGAGACCCGATCAAAGCCACTGCAACTCTCATCACTCAGAATTGAATTTCGAAATGGTGTGACCCTTTTACGAAAACATTGTTCGGTCGCTCGTTATGAAATTTGGCATGTTCCAAAAAGCATGCATTGGCAGCAATCCAAAGTCAAAGATCAGTGTACTTCATCATGATTTCTCCGTCTGCTGTCTCCTCGTTTGCCGTGTTCCACGGATCAGGGGTGGCCAAGCGGTAAAGGACGAATCCAGAATATATTACGTGGTGATATCAAAAATGTCCTGCGGCATGAACTCATTGGGTCTTTTTTTCCTTTGAGACAAGCTCCCTTTGCTGTGTTGTTTTTACTAGCGAGCGTATGGGTCGCTAGTAAGTGGGTTGAGTAGATACATTTTTAGCCGTCTAGTTGTGACTACAGATATCTTAGCATTTTCTGCACTCATTTTCTGAATGCTATTTGTAGAAAAAACTTCTAAGATGAGATCTCGCTAAAACGCGAAAAACTATAAATCCATTCACCATTTCTTAAGAGTCCTGTCACAACCTTCAACGTTTCGGGAGAAAACTTATATTTTCTTGCATAACGCGGGTTCATTTAATCTTCCCCCTCTCCTCCCAGCAAGAGAAGATACGCCCACGGTCAAGCGTGAGGTGTAACATGCCACACCTGGGGGAGGGGGTCGTATAAAGGGGTCATGGAAAGGGGAGGGGCTCGTTATCAAGGTATTAGGGTGCCTTCATACCGCGCCGGCAGCCGCCGCTAGCAGCCCGTAGCAGCCGCCGGCAACCCGTAGCAGCCGCTGGCAGCCGTAGCAGCCGCCAGCAGCCCTTAGCCGCCGCTGGCCGCGTTTGTCATAAAAGCGCAAAATCATCAAATTCTTACTACTTTAAGTTTGCCCGCCCACGCTTTCCGTCTTCCACGCTTTTTTGCGGCTAATGTGCAGTTTCACTCTCACACATCACAGTGTTCAGCAAGACAAACACCGGCCAAGGATGTTGGAACAGAACCATACACGAGAAACAAACACTGCAAAAACTGGACGCATCCAAAGTCAGAAGAAATCACACCGCGAAGTCATTGATATTCGGAAACAACGTGATAGAAAACTGGATATCCTAATTTTACGCGTACAAGGCGCGGGGTGGTCCTAGCTTTCATCGAGCTGCTCAGCCGCCCCAACGTGTTTTAAGAAACGATCCTTATGCCGCACGATTCGTCAGGCAAAACGCAGCACGGTATGGGGTTCCTGATTGCGAAGTCCTTTGCCGTGTTCGGGCTGGTCGATGAAAGCTGAGACCCCCCCCCCGCGCCTTGTACGCGTGAAATTAGGGTGATTATTTTCACCGCGATCGGACGAATACCGCTATAGAATTTTGTTCGAGATTACCGTAAAATCCCGGCTCGATTATGGATGAGCACAGAAATACTGTATGCAGGGACCGCTGTAGATACACTGCTTGTTAGGTGGCATCTAGCGTTGTTGACGGCTCTTCACTCTCCACTACCTTCTATAACTGCGGCACATCTTTGGGGTAAGTTCCGTTTCCCATTTCTTCTAAAAACGTCAGCTTCAATTATTCTCTTGAAATAGATCTACCCGCTAGTCCACAGAAAGCTTTGTGGGAGATGCATCTTTGAATCATGCTCCTTCCTCTCACAATTGACAACACAAACAAGCGGATCATACTTACTTCAACACCATGCAGTGTCTTTCATTTATACTTCATCGTTCATGTTATGAGGTCTTCTTGTATACCAGTGGCACTCTTCTTACTCTTCTGCCAGAGTACAGCGGTGCGTCTTGAACCCTAGCGTGGAGCAGCAAGAATCTTCGAAGTTTACAGAAGGAGTCAATCAATCCTCAATGTAGTCCAGTTTCTGGTACTAACGCAGAAAACGCCGTAGACTATGTGTTCCTTCTCGATCACTCCCTCAGCGAAGATAAGGCTAGTCAAAACCGGAGTCGGATTCTACAAGATCACATAAATTGTTGTTTAGATTTCGCGCATACAATACCTCTACAAGGCCATATCCTGTGAAATACCGATCTCAAAACAGTACCGTCTGGCGACAGTTCATGTTCCTGGAAAGTCTTCTAAGGTGCGAATCTTCATAGCAGCCTTATTCATGAAAACCTGACATTGTAGTAATTCTAAGCAAACCGTTACTTCGTTGAAACTATTTGCGCATCAGTTGTAAGAACCTAAGGAAATATAAGGGGTTGCCAATGCTCGTTTTGGTGCTCTTTATTGCTTTTCTATACCAATTTTGTGGTCTTTATTGCTTTTCTAACCTATATCCGACCAGTCACAATAGTTGCATACCGAAAGTTGAGCTCTAGCTGATAGCAAGATCAATGATAAACCGCTTTTATCTCTATCTTAACACGTACACAAGCCGGTGCTTAGGTTGCAAGTTTGAAAATAATGAGAGGTGTAGCGTGTGCCTAGTGTACTTCAGTACCTGTCGTCCCACTGTCCGCTTTAGGCCCCGGACAGACTTCACGCGACTTAAAGGCAGTGTCTGGACAAAAACTCGATTTTGAGATTTTGTGCTTACCCGGGCCTATTCGCTACTCTGAATCCGAAAAAGCACATTGGAGAGCGCGAAAACGGCGAAAAACGGCTCTTACCACGAGGGAAATCAGCAGGTGGGCGGGGTCCTCCCCACTGTAAATTCACGCTCTCAGCTTCCAGAGCGATTCTCTCGCTTCCAATTTCATGTCAATCATTCGCACTTGGCCGGTAGCGATGTTAGGAGGGCTAGCGGAATTGAGAAGACAGCTCTGGAAGCTGGGACCGTGAATTCACAGTGGGGAGGACCCCGCCCACTTGCGGTTTCCCTCCTGCGCTAGAGCTCTTTTTTGCCGTTTTCCCGCTTTCCAATGTGGATTTTCGGATTCAGCGTCGCGAATAGGCTCGTATAAGCACAAAATCTCAAAATCGATTTGCCCGGACACTGCCTTCAATCGTCGCGATCTAATCGTCAAGATTTCCATTCATTTTCAGTTGACATTCAAAATTTTCGGGCTGGAAAAGTATCACAACCGAATGCAAGTTGATCGGCATGGAATGATGTTGTAACAGTTGTCTCGTCGCGATTCAGTCGTTGCTTGTTGACACATATGCGGATTTTCGTTGGAAGCTCCACTTCTTTTAAGGAGATCCGTCTAGGCTCTTAGCACCCATCGCCATCTACTCTTTTGCGATATGACCAATCCATCCATGTCCTTCATGAATTTCCTTTGTTATGCTACACAGTCATGCTTTTAATATCCGCGCGGCAGGTAGCTTGCAGCTTCCTGTATTCGCTTGCTGCTTTCCTTCAAGACGAAGACTGCCATCCTATAAGCTAAATTTACCGCTAAACATAATAGTCTGGTCCTGCGTCAGCTTGCTTTAATTCAAGTGAAATTTGGGAGACATAAAGCTTTCGCAAACTGCGTGCGAGCGTTGGCAATATGAGCACCCTCTCTTTTCACATTATAAACCGCACCCTCATTGAAATTGCGCTCGGTATAGGGCGCTGATGTGCACGAATAAACAGAGGAAGAAGCCGAATCAAAACTGATTGTTTGGGTTTGCATTGCAGTAGTGATTGTAGTCCGGGGGAAAGCAAGCGAAAATAAAAGTCAATTATGATGTTGATATTATCCAATATTATGACCGAACGGCATCGGCTTGACAATCTACATGCTATAACCTCTTGCATGTTTTGGCGCAAACGATCTCCGTTCCTACACACATGGTTGTTAGTCACATTTTACGACACCTTGAAGCTTTCATAGCACAAAAGATAAAGCTGAGAACAGAGCTTTTATTACGCTTGCACTGACTTGCAACTTCCTGACTCCCAACTTGCATGCGCTATGTCGTACTGCATCTTGATTGCAACAAAAATAAAAGTAATGCAAAAACGACAGCAATGAAGTATCATCAAGTAAAAAAACAGAGATACAGCACATAGTTAGAAAGCGAGGGAAGAGAGGCGCGAAGCGCTCATAACGATAACGATGCATGACGCAAGTAGAAAAACACACAATCAACAAAAAAGACTTGACAAAATGACTCAAATAGGAACTTAGAAAGACATAGTGAATTGCCTATTGGGGTTAGAGTTGCTCGCTTGGGGAACCGCTCTGTTTCCCGCTATCTGATAATTTTTGAATGCAGCTTAAGATTCCTTATATATATATATATATATATATATATATATATAAGGGGATGTGTGCCTTGGCACCACAGACAAGTGTGTGGATACCAAGGGATGCAAAAGTGTCATCCCATCCCCCGCATGAGAGCAAGGATTTTTTTCTCAGCACATTGACGACCGAGCCATTTTGAGTAATAGTCCCAATAACGTTCCTCACAACTCACGTTCGTTCCTCACGTTGCTTCGTATTTTGCATATACATAAGAGCGATGCACGAAATCATAATGTGGAAGTTCTTTTAGTCCTAAACATGAAACGTGCAAGGTTTCAGAATTGCTTGTACCTCACAAAGTTTTCTCAGGAATTTGAATATGAAGATATTTGCATCCCTTTCCTCTCATATAAATATGCCATAATATGTCGCTTTGGGGAAAGCTTCATAGTATTAGATCAAAAGCTCTCTTATCTTTGAACCTGGGCATTTTGATATGTGTCAGTAAATGATTGTTGTGCCGAAACCAGGTTTCTTGATGGATGTTTATTCGACCGACGTTTCGACGGGCTCGTCTTTTTCAAGAGGTCTGAACGTAGATTATAGGTTTTTGGATCTGACTAGTACGCCGCCAAGAGCCTCCTCCACGAGTGCTAGTCTAGACCTTATCGGAGGATAGCAGCCAGCGGGAAACCATCAAAGTTGTGAAACGAGCTAACCTTAACTCCACCGCATACCAGTAAGTCCGCACAATGGGACAATAGCGGACGTCACTGAGTGTCACCCATGAGTCAAGGGTATTTATGTGCGGCTGTTCAGATTGCATAGCGGTATGAACGGCAAGAGATCACTGTTGATTGACACGCATTCACTCTTAGCATTCATTCTAGGATTCCTCGTAAGTATCCATGCTGCCTCAAGGATCTTTCTTGCGCAAATCTCAGTCTCGTAAGACAGAATGGTACATTTGACTTTGAAGTCATTTCCACCATGTGCCTCAGCTTTGTGTCTTCCCAACGGTGTTGTTAATATCCCACGTCTTTTGCTAGCCAAATGTTCCTTTAGTCTTACACCCAACGCTCTACCCGTCTCTCCTATGTAGCAGTCTTGGCAGCTCAAACATTCCAGCTGGTATATCACACCTGCCTTCGCACAATCCCCAACATTGCCGTACGGGCATACGATGCATTCATCTACTATGCATTCGTAATCGTAGAGCCTATTCCGAACTAGCTGCTTCTTAATGTTATTCTTCGGTACCTCAACCAATATCACATCATTCTGCAGTTCAGCGCGGTGAATGCATCGTCTAATTGCCGCGCTAACCTTATCTGATATAAAAGGGATGCAAAGTGGAACCTTATTGTTATTCTGCTTACGGATAGAGGTATCGGAAGGTGCAAAAGTTTTGCATCTGTGTTCATTTGGTACATATCCGTTACTCTGCGCAATTTGCAATGCCAGCTTTCGTGATTCGAGCTCCTCTTCGTGGTATGCATACCGCTGTAGCAGTTTTCATCATGTTGCGGATGACCGCTCGTTTTGTTGCTGCAGGGTGAGCTGACTTTGCGTGGATCAAGATGTTTTTGGATGCTTCCTTACGATACCATTTTACACGGAGTACACCATCAGATAATCTGATCTGTGTGTTCAAGTAAGGGAGCCATCCGTTACGTGGTGTTTCTCTAGTGAACCGTATGTACTGGGACTGTTGGTTTAAAATCGCAAAGTACTCATCCATTTCGGCTTGAGTCGATGTTATTATACAACAGTCGTCGATATATCGACAGTACACTAACGGCAAACGCGCAAGTACTGGCTGCTCGATTTTACTCATATAACATACTGCGAGAACAGGTGCTAGGCGTTGACCCATAGCCAGTCCTCGTATCTGGGAGAAATATCTCCCAGACCACTTAAAGATGTTACATTCCAAGCATGCTCGAGTGAGGGCCAGTATTTGCGTTTTGTTCAGACCAAAGGTGTTTATGGCTGTTATATGTTTGTCCAACATTTCAGAGAGAGCGTGTAATGCGTCATCGTTATGGACATTAGTGTATAAAGAAGTCACATCGAAGGACTCCATAATGACACTATGTCCAAACTTCGTGTTACGCAGCTGCTCTAGAAATTGAAGAGTATTGGACAAATGAGGCAGAAGCTGGTTCACGATCTTGCAGATAAACCACGATATGCGATCCGTAGGTCCTCCAACGCAGCTAATTATGGGCCGTATCTTATAAGACTCCGGTGACATGGCGCGCATTTCGTGTGACTCAATTTTATGCGTTTTTACCAAGTGGTAAAAAACTGGACAATTTGGATTCTGTGACTTTAATCTACTTATCAGTCGCTCATCGAGACCTGCAGATCTGCCCACGCTCATCCAAATATCGTTCAATTTTTTACACTGGAGCTGGTAGTCTTTCATAGTTGCAGGTTGGTAAATTGCCGTATCTGTCAAACGCAACTCAGCGATTTCTCTATCCAGCGTTTGCGGCATCACGACAAATTCGCCACCTTTGTCACTTATGGAGGTGCGGATAGATTGCTTTGCGATGGAATCGCGCAGCTCTTTCAATCCTTGCCATTGACGACGCGTTAGATTCGTTGTGTGGTCGTGCTCAAACTTTCTTAACACATCGAAAATTTCCATCGAAAGCATACGGAATTTGCGGTCAGCAGTTGGGGTAGACTCCGGTTCCTTATAAAAAGAACGAGGGAAGGGCACCGTTGCTAAGGCATAACTATCACTTGGCAAAGATAGCTGGGGCTTGTTCTGTTGTTTCTCACGATGAACCGGTAAAGTAGAAACGACGAGAGTCACTGTGATTGGCGACGTTCAACTGTCTGCGTATGGTCATGAATTCCTCAATCTTGGTCCTTCATTTTCACCAACGCAAACTATCAATTCCTCAGTTCATCGAAAAGTAGTGGGAGCTCTTTACCGATTACGCAATTCGCTACGCATTCGTGAGAAACAACAGAACAAGCTTCAGCTATCTTTGCCAAGTGATACTTATGCCTTAGCAACGGTGCCCTTCCCTCGTTCTTTTTATAAGGAACCGGAGTCTACCCCAACTGCTGACCGCAAATTCCGTATGCTTTCGATGGAAATTTTCGATGTGTTAAGAAAGTTTGAGCACGACCACACAACGAATCTAACGCGTCGTCAATGGCAAGGATTGAAAGAGCTGCGCGATTCCATCGCAAAGCAATCTATCCGCACCTCCATAAGTGACAAAGGTGGCGAATTTGTCGTGATGCCGCAAACGCTGGATAGAGAAATCGCTGAGTTGCGTTTGACAGATACGGCAATTTACCAACCTGCAACTATGAAAGACTACCAGCTCCAGTGTAAAAAATTGAACGATATTTGGATGAGCGTGGGCAGATCTGCAGGCCTCGATGAGCGACTGATAAGTAGATTAAAGTCACAGAATCCAAATTGTCCAGTTTTTTACCACTTGGTAAAAACGCATAAAATTGAGTCACACGAAATGCGCGCCATGTCACCGGAGTCTTATAAGATACGGCCCATAATTAGCTGCGTTGGAGGACCTACGGATCGCATATCGTGGTTTATCTGCAAGATCGTGAACCAGCTTCTGCCTCATTTGTCCAATACTCTTCAATTTCTAGAGCAGCTGCGTAACACGAAGTTTGGACATAGTGTCATTATGGAGTCCTTCGATGTGACTTCTTTATACACTAATGTCCATAACGATGACGCATTACACGCTCTCTCTGAAATGTTGGACAAACATATAACAGCCATAAACACCTTTGGTCTGAACAAAACGCAAATACTGGCCCTCACTCGAGCATGCTTGGAATGTAACATCTTTAAGTGGTCTGGGAGATATTTCTCCCAGATACGAGGACTGGCTATGGGTCAACGCCTAGCACCTGTTCTCGCAGTATGTTATATGAGTAAAATCGAGCAGCCAGTACTTGCGCGTTTGCCGTTAGTGTACTGTCGATATATCGACGACTGTTGTATAATAACATCGACTCAAGCCGAAATGGATGAGTACTTTGCGATTTTAAACCAACAGTCCCAGTACATACGGTTCACTAGAGAAACACCACGTAACGGATGGCTCCCTTACTTGAACACACAGATCAGATTATCTGATGGTGTACTCCATGTAAAATGGTATCGTAAGGAAGCATCCAAAAACATCTTGATCCACGCAAAGTCAGCTCACCCTGCAGCAACAAAACGAGCGGTCATCCGCAACATGATGAAAACTGCTACAGCGGTATGCATACCACGAAGAGCAGCTCGAATCACGAAAGCTGGCATTGCAAATTGCGCAGAGTAACGGATATGTACCAAATGAACACAGATGCAAAACTTTTGCACCTTCCGATACCTCTATCCGTAAGCAGAATAACAATAAGGTTCCACTTTGCATCCCTTTTATATCAGATAAGGTTAGCGCGGCAATTAGACGATGCATTCACCGCGCTGAACTGCAGAATGATGTGATATTGGTTGAGGTACCGAAGAATAACATTAAGAAGCAGCTAGTTCGGAATAGGCTCTACGATTACGAATGCATAGTAGATGAATGCATCGTATGCCCGTACGGCAATGTTGGGGATTGTGCGAAGGCAGGTGTGATATACCAGCTGGAATGTTTGAGCTGCCAAGACTGCTACATAGGAGAGACGGGTAGAGCGTTGGGTGTAAGACTAAAGGAACATTTGGCTAGCAAAAGACGTGGGATATTAACAACACCGTTGGGAAAACACAAAGCTGAGGCACATGGTGGAAATGACTTCAAAGTCAAATGTACCATTCTGTCTTACGAGACTGAGATTTGCGCAAGAAAGATCCTTGAGGCAGCATGGATACTTACGAGGAATCCTAGAATGAATGCTAAGAGTGAATGCGTGTCAATCAACAGTGATCTCTTGCCGTTCATACCGCTATGCAATCTGAACAGCCGCACATAAATACCCTTGACTCATGGGTGACACTCAGTGACGTCCGCTATTGTCCCATTGTGCGGACTTACTGGTATGCGGTGGAGTTAAGGTTAGCTCGTTTCACAACTTTGATGTTTCTCGCTGGCTGCTATCCTCCGATAAGGTCTAGACTAGCACTCGTGGAGGAGGCTCTTGGCGGCGTACTAGTCAGATCCAAAAACCTATAATCTACGTTCAGACCTCTTGAAAAAGACGAGCCCGTTGAAACGTCGGTCGAATAAACATCCATCAAGAAACCTGGTTTCGGCACAACAATCATTTACTGCTTCATAATATTATATTTTTGTCTATGTTCATCCTTGATCGCTCTCAGAAAGCTATACAGAGTTTTCTCCTCAGGAGAAACATATTCAGCATACACTTGTCACATCCGAAATGGACTGGACGTCTAAATTTGCGGTCTAAACTCTTGATTAGCTAAATGCCCTGTGTTCTACATGACAATCAGTTTAACACTACTATCATTGCATAGAAGTCACCTTAGATCTTTTTCGTTTACACCCGAAGAACTGTCATGCATACGTACTATGCACGAAAATGCCAAGCAGGAGTCAGATCGTGCATTCGGTATGCAGTCGTATGTAGGCGGTCGTGAAGGTGTTAGATATGATGAGAAAGGAATTCTTGAAGTATTCATATACTTTTAGTAGCTTCACTGAGAATGAGTGGGTAGTAGCCTGTAGCTCACTAGCATGAGTGGTATAAAACTTATCGAGATTAACGTAAGGTGCAGTTGAAGCTGCTTTATATAATTTAGGTGGAATTGGCAGGATGGAAAACAAGTGCATCTTTCCCTGACACGCTCCTCAGGAACTCAGTCAAAGGCAGACTTCTTTTTTTTCCAACATCATAGAAACTTTCAACTCTGTTGTCTTCTTCTACCTTTTTAGATACAGCTACTAGGAAATTTACATCTTGCAAAACACCGTTCTTTTCAACTCATCGTCTCAGAGTCATTCTATAACTTAAGATGTGAAAGGAGATCCGTGCACGGTGTTGCGTGAAGCCTTGAATGCTGTCAAATCTCACTTTGCGGGCACGAAGTCAATTCTAGGGGAGATTCCTATCCATTTTGTGGTTCCAGTAGGCGAAGAACATAAAGGTGAGATTTATCTTACCGGGTCCAGAGCATGAAAAAAGCTCTAGAAGGATGTTCCGTTCGCTCTGAGTTCCGGAAGCACTTTGGTGGATGGGCCAACCGTTTCAACATCTTCTTGGACATTATTGCCATTGAGAATTCGATGGAAATTGGCGACATAGGCGTGCGAGTGAAGGTTCCTGCTTGGACAAACATCGAAACGAATGGTATGTTGATTGAGTATCATCAACAACTTAGTTAATTCCTTTCAGTGATTTCACTGACCACTCATATAGACTTCAAAAATATGTACAAGATGGACTCAGTTCTCCAAGAATATTCAGGATGGTAGGATGACCAAACCTTTCGGAAAATTATTGCAGAATGCTAATTATAGGATTAGAACGACTATACAAGGATTACAAATCAATGACCTTTTCCTGCTAGATGACACAACTGTGCATAGTCTGTAAGTTCTAATACTTCGATAAGAAAGTCTGTAGGAGTCTTCAGCCGAACCTCCGTCCTAATCAGCGGCGCCTCATACCACTACGCCACTCGTCGCATTTGTAAATGGGAGTTTCCAAAATGAGTGCGCAGACCTTGAGACCTGGACAAACCAAGCCCTCTAATATTCGGGGACGCTATTGCTATCATAGGAATCTTCTTCTTCTTCTTCATCCTCGCCATTGTCCCGCGCGGGCAAGGTCAGCGGTTTTGCATTATTGTTTTCTTGACTTGATCAGCTGCTTTTTGTGGTGTGAGGTTTGCAATGTGTAATCTTCGAATGGTGTCCAACCAGCTTAATGCGGCCGGCCACGTGGTATTTTTCCCTGCGGATCTAGACAAAGTGCTGTTTTTGCTATTGTAGTATCTTTCCTTCGTAAAACGGGACCATACCATAGTACTGGCAATGTGCATCTTATTCGCGATAGATGCAACTCCAAAAATGTGCCTCGCACGGTGTTCGTGTCGCAGATTTTTGGCGTTAGGCCAAGTATCCATCCTATCATTCGTGTCTTCATCGTGCTCAGGGTCTGCTCGTTAGTTTTTAGTTGCCCATTCTGCTTCGTACAGGGTACTGGCCGTACCACAGTCCGATACTTTTGACTTGCGATAGATTGGGAATCCGGTAAAATTCGGCGGTAATTCACCATAACTATACATAGTATAGAGTGATAGAATCGATCCTTGATGTACTCCAACTTGAATTGGGAATGGCGCTGCATTCCCACCACGCAGCGTACGGCCCGCGTGTTCGCATAAAGAAGTTTGATCCAGCGGAGGTACTCTTCTGGGACGTCGTGTTGTCTCATTGTCAGTGCAAACCAGATCAGCCCTTGTGGTATCCGATCAAGTGCCTTTTCTAAATTTAAGAATGCGACATGAGTCTGGATCCGCTTCTCCAAATGGCGTTCCATCACAGTCGTACGGCATGGATGGCGTTTGATTGTACCAGATCCTTTCACAAAACCGCATTGATTGGGGGGTGACTTTTGCTATACTTTGGATGAGTATGTCAATAACTCGCAAGAATCTTCAACTTGTGACACAGCAAGCGTACCAGTTGACATATTAAATAATCGCTGACGTCGCCCTTGCTCTTCCAGAAGAGAATGTGATATTCGTAGACCAAATTCGCGGCACCCTGTCCGTCAATGATGACTCGGTTGGAGAGTGATGTAAAATAAGCCACTCCACGTTGTTCCGTCATCTTCCATATTTCAGCAGGTATGTCGTCATGTACCAGGTTTACCGCTGGACAACTTCTTCAGTGCCTGCTCAACTTCTGTCTCTTCCATCTAAAGTACTGGTGCGAATGTGGGCGTTCCTTGCAATGCTGGCGGATGCGGGATTTTGCCATCACATAGACCTTCGTAGATTGCCCTCGGCTTCATCAGGATATTGCTTTCTGCGTCTCTTTGATGTGCATGACATGATCGATGTCTTGCTTCAAAGCGGCCAGGTGGTAGAGCTTGTTAGCTAAAGTCTCTTATAGTGTGCCTCCTCTGCCTCGGCTACCGCATCTTCGCTCTCGAGTTCAGTTCTCGATATCGGCGGAAGTCCTTGTTTGCGTGAAAGCTTTCCAGGTTTTGTAGGCCTCTTTCTTCTCCTTAATCACTTGCTGGACTGACTCAGACCCACCAGGTCCTTATCGACAAGCAGGTGGGGGTCGGTTGGGTGGTCTCCAAGGTTTTTTCTGCCCTCGATCGTATCCGCGAAATAGTCCGATTCCATTGGTCTTCAGCCGATTCTTTATCATCAGTCGACAATTCCAAAGCGTACAAAGCTTCTTTGTCTTGCTGACAATGTTTAAGAAGCTTCTACCACTTGATCCTCTATGCCGTCGTCCTCCTGACTTGCAAATTCAAATGTAAGTTAAAATCCAAAAGAAGCAATCGGTGCTGTAGCGCAAGTGCATGTGTAGCTGTAGGTACGACCTTTGTGTTCGTCAACCTCGGCAAGTGACATGGCGCAGCATCCAGTAGTCGATCTGAGTTGAGCGATCTCCTCTCACATACGTTCAAATGCGATTCCTGCTTCCCTAAAAAATGCGTTCGCCAAAGCCAATTCTTGTGCTTCGGCGGCTTCTAGGATGCGTTCTCCGACCTCGTTCCTCTTCCTGTATTTATTTCCACCATGGTATCGCTGTATTCACCATAGGCGTGGCCAACGTGCCCGTTAAAATTGCATTCTAAATAATATGTCTGCGGCATCAGATGTCTTTAGTAAAACCAGTGCGTCACCTCTGCTTCGCAGAGGCTCGCACTGGCTCTACTATCTATGTGCCTTACTCATTCTCGTAAAATCGTGGCACTGGAACTCACTGCGCTATGCCGACTACCACGAATAAAATTTAAACAACCACTCATTTAGAAAGTTTTTTCACGTGAGATCGGTGATTTCGCGTGGATGAAACTTTTCGCAAGAAGACAAACGCAAATTTGAATAGGTTTTTGGATTTGTCATGGCTTGGTTGTCGCCATAGAGGTAATAGTAGCCATGAGCTACATCTCTGTGCGAAAATCTTCTTAAGCGCTTAGCTAGAACCTTGGCAAATTGACCATTTACACAACCAATTCTTTTTGGCGCCGTTTTCGTTATGCAGTAAACTTTCGACCACTTTTCGGGCTAAACTCCATCGCTTGCAAAGTTGCCTACCAAACTCGTTCACGACTCTGCAAAAAGTGGTGATACGGACCGAATTTTGCGGTATAGAAGCCAGGTGGACCCGTTTGGCGCGCAATTTCTGAGGGATCCACTCAACGAATTTACTCGTGCTTTTGCATGTTGGACTTTCATGAAGGTAGCATGCGTTATACAAAATTTGGGCTTAGAACGCCGGCTGGAACACGCTCCACGAATTTCGTAACAGACACACTCACACACAGACACACAAAGTCACGTAAACATCCTTAGCCCGTTATTATAAGTTATGATGTTGAAGTCTCTTTAAACGTGTCCCTTCTCAGTTCGGCGCATGCGGGTTGCAGGGCGTAACACGACACTAATCAAAGTGTGAAGTCGTCTGCTTCGATTTTCATCGCTGTCAGTCTACCTAACATACGCGTCACTTCGGTCACCAACTCTCGGTATTTTACCGCTGACGATGATCACGGCACTGTTCTGGCTTCTGCTATAATTAGTGTAGCAAAGACAGAACCCTCGCCGATGTCCTTAGCCCGCTTTCTCTCCCATTTCGTTTCTTGCACACATGCGGTGTCGATGTGTCGTTCCCCCAATCCATCGCATAGCTCTCGAATGCAGCTCGTTAGCGTCCCTTTGGTAATCGCCGCAATTCGAACTTCCTGGACTCGCTTCTTCGGCCTGCTTAGTCCGGGGGCAGGCAGCCTTAGCTCACTATTCGCGCCATGCGGGCAGGCACTGGCGCGCGTCGCCTCCGGGGAAAGTTTTAGCAGCATGACGAAAATAGTAGTCCGATGCATCTGACAAGATCGATTCGTACAAACACCGGCGGGTCGCTCCGCCTGACGGGACAGGTCATCCTCTCTCGCCGCGATTGATCCCCGTTAATCCCGATTGATCGCCGGCACCGCGGGAGGTGACGATGGGACTTTGCGGCCGGTATCAGAGTATTTTGGGAGGATAAAATCATAACTTGGTAAATGGCTGGCTTCCGCAGTTTATTCTAAAATTCGCACGCATTCAATTCCTTACCATAAAGTGGAAGACGTTCGGAGCATGACTGCAGAGGATATTGGAGATTACGGATCTTTTATCCCTTATCTGTTTATTCAATACTACCTCCTATGCCTACTAGATACTATATCGCCTCATTTAGGCATACGGAAGCTGAGACGGTGAAGACCGAAGTGAAAGACCACAAGACTGATGCTGCAAAGAAAACCGAGTCGCCGACGCCTGTGCCTACAAAAGCATTCGTAAGACGAACGTCTGTTCACAAAACGTCCAGAGTGAGAACAGCAAGACGAGCGGCCGCTATTGAAGAACTTTCGCCACTGGAGTCAGCGAAGACTGACGTCAAGCCGCAGAAAAAAGAAAAACCACTTGCTAATGTAAAACCGAAGGAAAAGTTGACGGACAAACCAAAAGAGAAACCGAAAGAGAGACCGAAGGAAACGCCGAAGGAAAAGCCAATGGAGAAGACGAAGGAGAAGCCGAAAGAGAAACCGTCAAAGAATGCCAAACCAAATCCCAGGAAAATCGCCTTACCACCTCCCAAAAAAATGATAAAGAAAGCGCTGAGTAAAACCACCGCACGAAAATCAAACTTGTCTAATTTTGTGAACAATGGAGAGGTTGCGCCATGGTTTCATTCAGAAAACGATCACGCAATGGGAATGAATCGTAGAAATTGGAAGATACTCACAGTTGCACCGCTTGTACCAGTTAGTAATCATGAGGGAGATGTTGCAATGCAAGAATCAGGAGCTGCGGGTAAGACGGGTGTGACTGTTGCTTTCTTTCCTGTTCCAAACTGTGACTTGAAATTGATGTAATAGAGTTCATCAGTTTCAACTCTGGTATATTTACTTGGCTGGGAGTACAAGGTCCATGCCCCGCTCCCAACGAAAACATCCACCCGAATCTTAGTGCTTTATGTTTTCGTCTTCTTGGACCTTTCCGTGGCCCTGATTATAGATATGGAGTGTGTGCAACCACAAAAAATCCGGCGAGGATAGGGATGCCTTCAGGATAGGCTCTCTGGAAGCTCCGATCCTGAAGGCATAAACGACTTTCAGCACTTGGCTGAGCGGAGTTTGACAGAGCGGGTGTGGCATAGCTTTCGCGAGTCCTAGGCCCATTTATTACTTTCATATCCCACAATAAAGGACCCGACCGATATAGAGTCCTACTACTAATACTTTCTTGCAGACTGGGTGCTTGCGCCACCGCTGAGACAGCGCCGGGACAACACCGCGCTGTCTCAGCGTCGCCAGGTCGGAGAACTTTGGGCGAAGCCCAGATATGCAATCAAAAATAGAACAACAGTCGCAAGATAGTGCGGCACTGCGACAATTCGTGCAGTGTTCTGCTTTTGCTTCATTCCAAAAGAAGTCAGTCTGTAGTAACCGCTCGTACCGTTTGCAGTTGAGGTCTTGTTTTTATTCTTCAAGAAAACACAGCACTCCTTCTCAAGTGATAGATTTCAAAGCCTTCGATTCCATTCGGAATTGGGTGTGCTTTGCTTTTACGACAGATCTAGTACTCAGTCTACGACATGAAACCTCTTTGCTGACTAACAGCTAAAGTGCAGGTCATTTCGCGCGAATTTACGGTGCGAAGCGTGTTAAATTGCTCACGCCAAAAAATTGGGAGAGGGGAGTTGGGAAATCTATGTTGCCATTTTAGAGCCCCCTAAAGCCTCGGGCAGAGTTCACGCGATTTGATCGTCGCGATTCAGTCACTACAAGACAAGTGTTACGAGTTCATTGCATTGTATTCGTTGTGATAGTTAGTCACGATTAGTCGAGTTGGAAAACTATCACAACCGAAATGCAAGAAGATCGGCATGCAATGATAATTTACAATTGTCTTGTTGCGATCAATCGTGACGATCAAATCGCGTGAACTCTGCCCGAGGCTTAACGGGTTCAGCACGTCGGACTATCCCAAGCAAAATTTGAGCCGAGGGTTTGCCGAACGCCCCCTGCTTTCGAAACAGGACATTCTATGCATAGGATACCTTCTAATCCACTCAGTACTCAGCACTACTCTATATGAGCACCGAATGCTCTAAAGCGGTGGATTTCACCTAGTTTGGGGATACTTGCTATAACTCATAACACGACGGCCAGAGGCGCAGGCTAGATACTGAAAACAGTTTTGAAATCAGAGTTCAGTAAACCTAAGTTGAGCGAGAAACGGAGTACGCGAATAGCAGATTATATCTATATAAGCCTTATTCTAGGCGCAGCACCATCCACATCCGGGAAAAGTGAGAAACGCAGGTATGAAAGCAAATCTACAGTCACTTTCTATCAGTTCCCTTCTACAGCTCGATAAGATGGAATCAAACTTTTATCCCACTATTAATTCTCATCATTATACTAGCGGTGATCCTCATATTTATATTGATTTGCTGCTTCTATTTGATTGAAGCTAGCAAGGTGAGCCTCACGTTACCGCGAATAAATTCACATTCTTGAAAGTACGTTACAGACTCGACAGCCAAGCAGCCGTAGCCGTAGCCGAAGCTCGAAGAAGTCAGAAAAGGTGCGCACATCTACAATGACTACGCAATTTATTGCCGTAATCCTAGTCACAATACGCTGAATTCCAAACAAAGTAGTTTGTGTTGAGATCTCCTAACTCTTTTACTCGAGCAAATCCGATCCAAAGGCAAAAACCTTGGGAGAATGTACTCTCTGCCATTCTCCCAAATTTCTTAAAAAGTTTGGTAATGCGCATTAGCTGAACAATGACTAGCTTTCAAGATGGTATCGGAATGGTTGTAGGATAGGATTACATACGAGTACATCGTAGTACATAGTGGTATAGTACTTCAATTCCGTGAATATGCTCTTCATTTCTCTGACTTAAATGGTGTATTCTCCACGGGTATCTTCACATGGCCTAAACCAACACAGCTTCACGATTTTGATAGGTTCAAACTTCCAAATTTGCTCTTTCTTAAAAGCCAGAATTTTTGGTGTTTTACACCAGATGTTTGACCGTCGTTATTGCAGAGCCCGTTACTGCCAAGACAGGCATCTGGCAAAAAGAGCGCTAAAGATGTGCCACCTCCACCGCCTGCAAAAGTGGAACCTAGACCAGTAAGTTATTAGAAGAGGATCTGTTGAAAACTTACTTCATCAATAATTCTTCCTTAGGAAGCAGAATCGACTGCTAAATTACCCGAAGGAGGTTTGTTACTTGGTTTTCACAGTACTGCTATCAGAATACTGCGCAATTTTCAGTTGACTACACTCCAATCCACGTTTCTGGAAGAACAGGAAGAGAAGTAAGCCTATGGAGCATTGTTACCATGCACCCTAATGCTTATAAACATTTTTCAGGGTGGTGGCGCTGGTGGCGACTTGCCGAATCTTGAGGATATCAAGAGTCAGTTGTTGTTATCACAGCTTTATTCTGGGCCTTAGGCTGCGTTCAAAGTGCCAGCGCTGTTGCGCCGTGCTAGCGAAAAAAGAGGTAGCCGGTGAGGTCAACCGATCAGTACGCGATGTGCCATGTAACAGGCGCGGAAGCACGGCGCTGGCACGGCGCTGGCACGGCGCTGGCATACAGGTAATGCTGTGCGTCAATAATGTACGACAAGTGCTGTAAACATAATTTTCTGTTTGCTGTGGTGCCTTCGAAGTTTATCTTCTGTCAAAACCCTGCAAAATTTCTACTGATTTTTCAGTTTCCAAAGAGGCTACAAAGTCTCCAGCTGACGAAAAGCCTGACGTAAGATTTTCTCACATTTTCATACCTTCTGTATAAAAAATAATTCTTGATTTTAGGTGGAATCTCCACCAAAGGATAACATGCCAAGGATCTCAACTGACCACATGTTTTGAGTGTCACGAAAGTAAAGATGTATTGATGACATTGGGACTTGTACACATATACAAAAAAGCAACCAAAAAAATTTCCACATAGGGGTTCGATCAAAATGTTTTTACAAAACTAGGAGAAAGCTTCTTTTCAAAGATTCATGTTGACAGAATTCCATTCTAAATTCAACTCACATATCAAAGGAGCGAAATTTTTACGCTTTTCTAAAGTATATAGTATCTCTCTTCCAAGTTTCATCCTCCTTCTGCACTTCTTAAGCCAAATTGAGAATTATCTTCACGTCAAAATTAGATGAGACATTTTGTGGCAACGATTTCAAATCTAATTTCTGTACAGCCTGAGAATTTATTGCCTTTCTCGGTAGGCTCTGTACAATGTTTTAAGGGGTCTTTACAAATGATCTATACAGTTGTTTTCTCTGTCTCTTCTTGTTGTCATGCTCCTGGCAGCAGGAGTGACACTCCTTCGTTGTATTCGATGGTCAGGCTGACTTCTTTGTCGGTTATCAACATTATCTCCAGCCGGGGTTGTATCGCCACTCCGACCAACCGACGACAGAAGTCGCGACTCGCGCTGAAATATACTCGTAGACATTATGGATATGTAATAATCTTTCTTGTCCTTTGACGAAGAACTGTCAAGAACTGAGAGGTATTGTGTCAGAATTTTTAACTCACCTTGAATGCCTCCCGTCGAAAGTGTTCCTGTTTCGCTGTTTCAATGCGAATCCAGTGAGGAACGTCTGGCACAGCAAGGTCAATGAAGATTTTTGATGCCAGTATTATATGCTCCAATACAACGACGATCAACACCTGAAGAGTAATTTGACATATAAAATAGTGCCTTAACTCAATAAATGAAGTGAATCGTTGTCACCAAGTTCAAATTAATTTGGAAGATTTATAAAATGTTTTATCTTTCGATGATTGAAAATCTCCAACCTGTCCACCCCAGCTAAGATCTGGCCATATCCGTTGTACAAGTCCTGATTGCCCAATAAGTGCGCAGTTTACCATAACGCCAACCATACCTAGCAGCTAAAATACAGATTAGGTAAATATATTCAAGTAATTTGCAAGCTATGATTCTTGTGGAATTCTTACGACATGTGCAAAGCTTTTCTATAATCTGCACGAAACGATAAGTCTTAGGATTTTGATTAGGTCTCTAATCATGTTTTAAAGAGATCGTTTCTGGCAACAGTTTTTCGTGCGTACCAGATTTGTGAATTTGCATATTAATTGGGTCACATATAACTAAATTTTGTTAGACTTGGAGGAAAAAACATAACTTTGCCAAAAAGTTTTCCCTATTTATCCTCATTCTAGGGTTGTGCCTTTCGGTACACACATTTCACACATATGAACCTTGAATTTTTTGCAAATTTTCAATTTGGCAACTTTTCTGTTTGCCTTGCTCAAGAACTTACATTAAACATGGGGCACTTACTTAAACTACTGGGAGCACCAGAGTTGAAGTAATTACATTACTTTAAATCTGGTGCTCCCAGATCCAAATTCTAAAAGAGGAAGGAAATGAGATTTCAAAAATTGAAAAGCTGGAGGCTCATGTGCTGTTACAAAATTGCCTTTACACTTACTTGGTCATAAAAGGTGGGATTGCCAATGCATAGATTTTGTTCCTTGAACAAGTCAATTATGAGACATTGCCGAAGCTAAAGTTTTCCAAGGGAACACAAAAGAAGTTTAACAATACTATCTATATTGATTTCTCCGAAGTAGAGTAGTGGGACGGTCGTCCTCAAATTCAAAATAGATTTGGGAGCGAACTACATCAGATGGAGGATACGAATATTTCTGATTAAGTCCTCTAAAGCTCCAAAAGTCACCCAATGGAAAAAAATTCAATATCAACTGATATATAATAATTGAAAAATATGCATCTTCATCTTTGAATGATGCACACGTTATGTTCGCATAGTTTTTCATTTACACTATCGGAGCGATCTATACCTTGTTGCAGTGTAAAAATTTGTCTCAGTCAAAGTCCTCAGATGCTCTTCGTGCCCTTCCTTACCTCCATCGCCTTCTGCCAGGCTCCAATGCTCTTCACTTGTCTTCCGAATGGTCGTTGTACAGTATTGCAGAGCTTGAATGCATCTACCCGTATTTCCACCACATTGTTTATGACAGCACATAAGGCAGCCAGCGGAAAAGCAGGAGAGAACAGGAGCACATAGCCGAACTGAAATGTTGCTTGGCATAGATATTTTTCAATCGAAAGCTTTTGTACGCACCTGAATGAACATTTCGAGGTAATCATCCAGAGGACGATCGTACGCTGCCATGAGACTTTCCAACTCAGCCTGATTCAGCTCGGTTGAGTCAGAAGGTTTAAATTCCGGCAATGGAAGCCGAGGGGAATGCAGTTGAAAGTCATCGGTCTGATTTAGGTTCTGTAGCGAGAGTTTCTAATACTGTAGCAAGTTGACTCCTCATTACCTCCAACAGATGTAGCTCATTTTCATTTCCTGCAAGTCTTTTCTGTGAGAATCTCCTTCTAAGTCCTTCGCTTGTTGGTGAACCGAGAGTAAAGTAGGCTTGAGAGTTTTGCTGCCACTTGATTGGATTTTTAAGAAGAATTTTCACTTGTATGCATTTTGTAAGCATACCTTTAGATCTTCTCCAAGCGTGTTGCTCTTACGAGCTTCTTCGACATGCCTTCGTAGTGTTCTTTCGCTCATGCTCTTTGTCATTTTGTATGTGAGTTGTGAAAGTTTCACTTTCTCCATCAAGAAAGGCACAGCTGTTTCCATGATGTTTTGAGTGATTTGACGGGTAATTAGGAGAGTTGCCAAAGTCTAAACGAGAATTATTTCGACGGGATGAAGCGGCTAGTGAATTACATACCTCTTGCAGTCGTTTCATGTCCTTCAGACAAAATGCGATGTAGAAAAGGGATCCAAAGGCGCTGACAAATTGGAAAATGACAATCTTGCTTATTAAAAAATCTTCATATTCATCATCCGTTCGGTAGTTTTCTGAAATATCAGCTACTTACATATTAAATAAAAAAGAAACAAAAAGATTTTGCAACCAATTTACAGAGAACGTTCCGTAAATATTAATTTCTACTCTTATACTCCTTCTTCAAGGAGCTGAACAAAAAAAATTTAACTCGTTTAGCAGCAAAGCCATGAATAATATGAATGTTCCGCGAAAACGGCTCAATCCAAATAATTCAATAAATGAAAATCAACCGTTTTTTGAAAATTGTTCTTAAGCGTACCATAATTCAAACAACAAATTTTTCACAAAATATAGTGAAAGCTGCTTTAGGCTCATCACCCCTGAAATGCCACTTACCAAGGTCATTAAGAAAGAGGGCAAGTTGGCGATATAATTTGTCACTTATCACTATCATTAAAGCGTAGACAATCATAGGCAGATAGCAGATCCAACCCAAAAAGAAGCTTCCACCAAAATAACTAAAATGCTGGTATAAAACAGCAAAAAATTCAGAATGCAGGACATAACTCACTAATTGGCTGCATCCTGAACTTGAAAGACAATTAGCATAGTGACGAACATGAAGATATTACAGAGGAAAGTCAAGGGGTATGTTATGCCTGTAAACAACTCTTTCAATGAATTTTTTTATTGATAGAAAGTACTTATTAGATTCGCAGGGTCATTGCCACTGAAGTGATCTACCACATGAAAAATAGTGACATACCGTATCTGACTATCGCATGTTTCCAGGGAGGATAGTAAGGTTCTAAACGTCCCGAAACCGGATTAGGTGCGAAGTATTCGCCCTAAATGCTAGAATAATGTCATATTCTTCAAGCGAACACCCATGGATAAAGCGAATCCTCACTCGGAACTGCGGACGAGGATCTTGAAGATATGTGTCACAGTTAGTATCGTAGGTTCCCCATTTGAAAGCTAACTCTGCTTGTTTCCTCTTCCAAGATTCCAAATACGCTGTTGACCAGATGCAGTTGAAGAATGCGAAGCAGACAAAGCAGATGTCAGAGATAAACTGGAAGAAGAATTTGAGCATGCACCACTGCAGAAAAATCACTTGTTTCGGTATCAATGCAGAAAAAACTGGTTTGGAAATCATTCATCCAACGAAAACTGTAAAATTTTGCTAATCTTGTTAAGCTCTGTAAATGCATTCAAGGGAGCTTTTGCCTAAGTCAGAAACAAAAAAGAAGAACATTTGACTAAAGAATATGAATGTGTAATTTTGGGCAATTATTATCTTAGTCTTGCGCCATGCAAAAAACATATGAATGAAGGGCGAGTAAGAAGAGAATAATTGAATAGGATATTTTTCAGGGGTGCCCAGCCATAATGCAAAATTTTAGATCCAAAAGCGTAAGTTCAATTTTGAAAATTTAAGGAGTGTCAGCGCAACGCTTAGGAAAACTTCTGGCCTCTAGGCTGAAAAAGCAGTTGTGAGTAAGATAAAGATGTAGAGTATTTAGAAAAAAGATGCTATAGGATACAAAGACATTTTTCATAATGAAGAGAGTTTTGATGGTCGTACGCAGATGTTTTCTTTTAAACCATTTTTGATTATTTACTTTTGCGATATTCAGTACCAAGAGGCTGACATTCTACTGGGAACTATGTTATTGAATATTATGGAAGTTTAAATGTGTATCAGAAACGATCAGAAAATGTCGCTAACCTGAGAACCATCTTGTTTTGGTACCACATTTTTATTGGTCGATTTGAAAGAAAATCCGAAAAACATGTACATGAAGAGACCTGAAAAACAAGTATTTCTTCATTCCTCTCGTACCTAATGGAAATTGAAGAAAAATTGTGCAGGCGATAATATTGTAATGGTTTTTTTTGAGCAGCAAAATATCGCAAATCAAAATGTGGACGCTGCTTGCAATTACATTTATGACAATGATGGGATTTGCTCATAGTTTCTCATAGGGCAGATATTTTTGGGACTTGCGAGCGGGTCTTGACCAAGCTTAACGAGGCGAGTCTTTGGGAGACGGCCCTTCTGAACCCACCGTCCCCTACAGTAATCTAGAACTAGGACGCGCGCGCATGCGCTGCGATGACTGCGGACGAGTGCTCCGCGAAGGGCTCGTATTTTCGAAAATCACCAACTCTTTTCGTGCGGCTCTTGCATTGTGCAATGCAAGCCAATCATGCTGACCTTCACCAAACACAGCTACCATCCTCTGAATGTCTGATATTCTGAGCCCTACTTCCCAGCAGGTATGTTTATGAATTATGAGACATTTTCGAAGTCTTTTCATTTAATTACATGGTTAAAAAGACTTCTCATGGATCTCCTTTGAATTCTTTCGGGACTTTGTTTTTTCTTGCTTTCTTCCACTTAAATCCCTTGTGTGTGCAATCCTTGTGACGTCGTGCATCGTCACATCATATTGCTAATGTGAGCTGCTTGATGTTATTGAGGAAAGCCCACGTAATCAAAGTTTGTGTAACAACTCTTTATAAAGGCCAATTGTAACTTAAATTGGTGATCTACGCTAATTCGTTATCAGATGCATATTTCCTTCTGACATTTCAGTGCAGCTCTGTAGCTTTCCAAAGAAATTATCATCTCCTCAAAATTCTCATTCTAGTAAAGTTTACGAACGTGCAGTTGAAATTACGATATAAAAAGCATGATGCGTGCAGCAAAGAAAAGGTCGCTACCAAAATTAATCCATGTAGATCACGCTACCAAATGAAGATAATGCATTTTTATTTGATTGCGTTTTTGATATGGACGGTGTAAAAAAAACTCCATACTCAACATAAAAAAAACGTATGCTTCCCTACTGGCATGCATGTAGTGCACATTTCAATCGAATGTGACTAGATGATGCTGCAAGGAGGCAGACGTAGGAGAGCAGAGCATGCAATCGAACTAAAAAAACAGTAAAATAAGTCGAAAAAACATTGAAAATGTCTCATAGATCAAAAACATACCACCTTAAAAAGTGACCGGCGATTTAAGTAGTGTGGAGTAGAGCGAATAATTAAGTTATTGAATTCCAGGGAATTTGGGGAATTTAGGAATTTTATAGACAATTACCTCCAGGATCTCATTGTGTGGAGTAGGTTACCAGCGTGAAACTCGTCCGCCTCCGCAGCGCGTCTGCCCAGGTCAGCCGCTCGCTCCCGCGAGCTAGCCAATCATGGAGTGACCTCTAATTAGCGCTGACCTCTTATAGCCGTCGCGATTGGGGCGGGTTCAGAAGGGCCTACACCCGAGTCTTTTGGTATTACCGTACTTCATGGGAAAGAGTAAGGTCACGGTTGGACGTTTTATTGGGTCCTCACTCGCAAAATGGACATACCCATGATTTTAACTGTTCCATTATGAACTTTCATATGCATACAGATTTCAATTATTCAAAGTGAAATGAACAAACCTAATAAAGCTGGGAACCATAGCGCACCGGTCATATGACCTAACCAAGAGAAGTACATTGCTATCTCAGTTCCAAAGTAGTCTCGAATCTCATCTAGCGGTTGCTTGTCCACTAAATGCGACAGTTGAACCTCATTCTCTACGAAATCCGGGTGAACTCACCTATGGAAACTACCCATTTCTGTTGCAAATGCTTGAGAAATTCTGTACTATGCAGTGGTAGAACTTTTTCCACAAGGTTAGTAGACGTTAGAAATGGAACTACAACATGTCATACATAGATATGGTTATGTAAAGCTAAAATTGTTTCTTACCTATTGCCATTCCTTCTGGTATTCTGACATTCTTCGCTGATGTTTGTAGCGTTATTCCACCAGTGGGAGCGCGTATCATGTCAACCATTTGTTTTACTAAACATTCTTATTCTACGCATATTAGGACAACAAAAATATTCATTAGTTTGTTATTTTTTAGAAGCTACAGTACAACATGACTCATACTGAGCAAGTAAGAGGTTTCTATGTCCAGGCACAACCAACAAATCCCTCTTCAATAAAACTAAAAATTAAGCGGATGCAGAAAGCCTGCGCACTCGATCTTTCCTTATTTTCAAAAAGTTCGTAAATTGTTCGCATAGCTGTTGAGACTTGCTTTTGTTTTTACGGATGAATAATAACTTACTATTAGAAAACCACGAGAAATTAAACTTCATGGAAACTTAGGGGTATGTGGGAGTTTAATCATATTCATTACACTCCAAAAAATTTTATTGAGTGTGATGCATTGTCGTTCGAAAAGAATTTTCATCACCCGAAATGAAGTTTACCGCTACCACTACTGAGGATTGCGATAGTGCAATCTACGAACTTCCGGAGGTTAATCTCAAATTAATATTTATAAACTTCAGCTAATCCAGAATGATTAGAGATCCTCATATTGCCCAATCGGACGCACTTGATTTGTTTTCAAACTTTTTCCTACTTTTTCAGAATTTCTGTAAGATCAGCACATCAATACATGGAAGAAGAATGGCAGAACGTATGCGGCAGATATGGATGCAACGGTGACGAGATTTATTGCTTTGTGATACTCTGCAAATGCAACTGCCGAAGTGCTCGGAAAGTACATCATCGAGCTTGATCGCCAAATTTAGATTTTAATTTGTCTAATGATGTGCCTCTGTGGATAATGTTGTATTGTTTCTGTATTGTTCGGCTGAGGGCTTACTATTGTTTTAGTCCGTATAAATAACCCGGCCGTTTGGCCATGAGCGGATCGGACGGCGGATCTACGTCTCCTACCTTTTATTTTATTCTTTTCATCAATATCTCTCTCTCGGTAGTCTCTCTCTCTCTGTAATAGTGCCATCCTAATAGTTCTCTAATTTTGAAGTAGTAAAGTTGCATGTCGTAATTCTTAAGTAGTAAAGCTTTTAAGTCATAAGCGTTTTGTAAGATCCCCTTGAGTGAAGTCGGAGCCGGACGGTTCAGCCGAGGCCGCTCTAGTATCGGACTCGCGTGCTGCGGGACCGAGAAAAAGGGGCGCGGCTGACATGGAGGTTCCGGCTCCCCTAGGAGAGGTAGGAGGCCCTATACCCCCCCCCCTCGTTTTTATTTCCCCCCCTGTCCCCGTAGTGTAAATTTTATTGTATGTGTTCTTTTTTTGTAAAATTCCCCCCCCCCCTTCTCTTTTTTGGGGCTGCGTAACAATATAAGAATAGTAGCAAATACTTAGGAGGGGTAATATAAGAAAGAAGGAAATGATAAACCCGGCCGGGGGCGCAGCGACGCAGCCCAAGTAATTTTCATTCCTTTTTTTTGTCGATTCGTTGCGCTAACTAAACAAATAAGTAGGTTAGATAAATTAGGTAGTTATTTTTATTGTTTTTTTTTATTCCCTCTGGCCCCCCCTCACCCCCTGCCTCTCCTAGGGGTGCTACTCAGCATCGCAAAAGAAATGGAAACTTTTGACTACGATGATCCGCCGTTCCCCCCCCCCCCCCTTTTTTTAAGTCACAAGTTTTTTTTATACTAACAAATCGTCCAGTGCATTCGTAGGAGAAAATTTTCGTTTAGTTACTTGAGAAAGAATGGTAAAAAGCCCAGAACAGAGAGCACAGGAAGAATGGGAAGAGCGAATGGCGGCGGAAGCGGCGGCGATGGTCGGATCGGAGGAGGCCCGGCGGCCTCTTCCGCCCCCGGACCCGGAGGCTCCTGGGAGCTCCGGGAACCCGTGGCGGCGGGAGGACCCGCACCGGGACCGAATGAGGAATGGGCATCTTCCTAGACAAGACACCAGACGGGACGAATGAAGAAGAAGTTAGTGGACGATCGAGGAAGAAGATGGCGGAGGAAGAAGGAAGCAGAAGGAGATGTATATCTGATGTTCAGTGAAGGGCTCAATAAAGAATTCTTATGATTGATGTTTTCTTTCTTTTTTTTCTTTTCTCTCGGGCACAAGACGGTACGGTCCTTTCTTTTTTTTTGATCTCATTCTATAAAGATTAATGCCCATCGACCATCAGGTGCTAGAAAGAAAATGTTTTGAATAAAGATTCTTTCCCCTTTAAGTTTATTGTCTTTGCATAAAGATTTATGCTTGTGTTCAGTTTTATGCGAGTAAAGATTTTCTCTTGAATGCACTGGAAGATAGGTAGTTAAGTTATTGCTATATAATTTTCGATTTGTGTGATGGTACCAAACTCAGCGCGGTCCCCTCATCTTTTTTTTCTTCTTTCTAAACTGTTTAAAGGAGACCACGCTGAGGGTGGAATTGGTGCAAGTCCAGCTGGCACCTATAACACGATCCAAATCGAAAGCAAAGAAGAGCGAGCCTCCATATTCCTCTCCATTCAGCACCCCAGAAAGAATCCGGAAGAGAAAACTACAAGAACAGCTACGAGAACTCGAAGAGCAGTTGAAACAGGAATAAAGCCTAAGTCCCTTATTTAAAGCAGACATGGCCCAAGGTAATCAAGACGGATCTAGAGCTCAGCAAGGCCAACAAGACCAGCGCCAAAATCAACAAGACCAGCAGCAGCGAGAAGATCAACTTAAACCGCGCGCAGATCCAGAACACCCCATCTATCGGTCGTACAAAGTTTTGAATAATAGGATCGAGAAATTCTCCGATATAGGAGATAGAACTTTCGAAGGATTTTTGGAAAAGTACGTAGACACGTTTTGATATCCCATACCCCGACGCTAGAAGCCTGCTGCCCATGTTTTGAACAGGTTCTGTAAAGCTCTATAATTCCATCGAAAATGCCAAAACTATGCCCTGGGAAGACTTAGTGCTGAAATTGGCGAAGAATGGTAAGAACGAAGCGCTCTTAAGTAACGTACGCGATGAGTTGCACGACCTTAGGCAGGAGAAAGATTCCGTTGGAGAATTTGCGCGGAAAGTATTGGCGAAAGCTAAGATAGCGTATCAAGGACAGGATAAACACATCATATCCTAATTAGCTATAGACGTTTTCGTCAAGGGTCTTAAGTCAGGTATACGGAAAGCTATTAGACGATTTCCAAAGAAGAAGGACTACGGCGAAGTCGTGTCTAGCGCAGAAAAAGAGGCCAGAATTTTAGATCAAGAGCGAGCTGAAGAGCACGATGCCTTGAGGGCCGTCAACTCCCTTATAGTAAGCGATAAGCTTGAGAAGATGCAAGAACAGCTTAACAATTTGTTCTTAGCGCAAAATCGACCATTTAGACCGGGTCCCAAAACATCAAGTCGTGGAAACGCCGTTCTTCGGGGACGAAGGAGAAGGCAGCGACGCCCTGGTCCATCCTATAACTTTAGTACGAGAGGAAGCTCGCGGCCTAACAATCCTTTTCGCGCACGCGGTATTTCCAAAAAACCCCTTTTTGACACCTGGGAGCTATTTCGCGTATCCTCCCAGTTACTTTCCGCAACCGCCCCAATATTACTCTTCGGAAATAACTCAGGACCCGGGGGTTAACCCATCACAGAACATCGATCCAGCGGTATATCCCCTATGAGCAATTAACTTCCATCCTCAGAAACATCTGGAAATACGTTACGGAGAACCTGGAGTCTTCTCAGGTCGCTCAAAAACATCTTTACGACCTGAGAAAAAGAGTAAAACCAAGTAACTATAATGTTAGAGACTCGGTGGTAATTCGAAAAGAAGTCGGCTTAAAATATCGCAACAGTTCGAGGGACCTTTTGAAATAATAGAAATAAACCGGCTTAGCATTACTGTACGAAATGGCGCGCGCATTCGTACGGTTCACATTAACCGCACGAAGCCGTTTCGTAAGTAAAGTCTTTCTAGTTTCTTTCGCTTTTTGGGAATAATAATGTGCACTAAAAACAAAAAAAAGATGAGCTCTCTCGAACAACATCCGTAGCAGGCGGCGTTTTCTTCTTGTGATCGAGCCACAAAAAGTAAAATGCAATCGCCTATAAGATCATTGCTGCTTAAAGAAAGTGAAAGACAACTTTTGATCAGTTTTGGGAAGAAGAAGAAAAAAAAGATCAATCTTACGCCGCGCAAGAGTAAAATTGGCCACTTTCACTCTTAGGCTCCGGCTAAGTGCCGCAATATCTATTTGCAGGTATGGAATAGAAAGTAGATGTATGGTCGCCATTGAAACATCATCATGGCAATCGACAAATATGCTGAAATACTATTATTCATCTCGTCGTGAAGCTGTACTATTCGTCTATTCGTCTGCTGTGAAGATACAACACGTTATTCGATGCGCTATTCGCTATCACTCCACAACCGACCGAAGAAAACCAATGGACAGCTGAGGGAAAGATGAGAAGAAGAAATTCAACTTGCAATTTTGACACCAAATCTGATCATCGTATTTCGTATTTCAATGTTCGACTCTCACACTCATGTCGAACTATCTTCGCGCTCGAGAAGGAACAATATAATTCATCATCGACACGATGAGACACCATTAATGGAGTCTCAAGGACCATCCAATGTGTTCTTTGATGTGTATATTGTAATTTCTTTTTGTGTTGTTGTAGTGTTTTTTTGGGCAGAAAATCCATCGTCCGTCCAAGCTTTTTTCTATCTAGTAATAAGCCCGAAGCCTTATGCATTATTCCATCTCTATGCATTATCCCTATTCGTCAATTCAACCGGCCTTCGTAGCATCAGCTCAGGGCCAGCTTATCCCGACGATGAGGATGTAAGATCAGCACATCAATACATGGAAGAAGAATGGCAGAACGTATGCGGCAGATATGGATGCAACGGTGACGAGATTTATTGCTTTGTGATACTCTGCAAATGCAACTGCCGAAGTGCTCTGAAAGTACATCATCGAGCTTGATCGCCAAATTTAGATTTTAATTTGTCTAATGATGTGCCTCTGTGGATAATGTTGTATTGTTTCTGTATTGTTCGGCTGAGGGCTTACTATTGTTTTAGTCCGTATAAATAACCCGGCCGTTTGGCCATGAGCGGATCGGACGGCGGATCTACGTCTCCTACCTTTTATTTAATTCTTTTCATCAATATCTCTCTCTCGGTAGTCTCTCTCTGTAATAGTGCCATCCTAATAGTTCTCTAATATCTTTTGAAGTAGTAAAGTTGCATGTCGTAATTCTTGAGTAGTAAAGCTTTTAAGTCATACGCGTTTTGTAAGATCCCCTTGAGTGAAGTCGGAGCCGGACGGTTCAGCCGAGGCCCCTCTAGTATCGGACTCGCGTGCTGCGGGACCGAGAAAAAGGGGCGCGGCTGACATTTCCTCTTCTCACTACTAATCTTACATCCAAAAAATTAAAAATTTGAATGGTGTTGGCTGCTTGATTCATTACTCTCATGCCTAGCACGCAATAAGTCAAATGCTTGCGGAAACTCATAAATAATGCAATATTTGCAAAAGAGGAGTTAAGATTGTAAATCTGTTTGCACAAGCACAGCACAATTCATCTCCTAAGCTGGTACTTATCGTAACTTCTACGGAACAAAAATCCACCAAGTAATTATTGAAACGAGAAGTTTGGAACTGTTATTCTTGCTGTAGCGCGATTTCTGTAGATGAAGTTCCCAATTCTCAAATCACAAACTTCTGACTTACCAATAAATGCTCGTTCCATATCCGTTAGGAAAGTATTGCGACCGTCAATTCCGGCGAAGCATTGCGCTTCTTCGAAGCAAAATTCTCGAAGGCCACCGCCAAAATGGCTCTTCACGTTCTTTTTGATATGGCAAAGCTCGGCTCCTTTTAGCAGGCTGAACGGATTGCGTACAAGCAAATGCTTTTGTAAAAAAAAAAAGAATAAAGTACCTTTTATAGGTTGCGGTCAAGTATAATGCATAGCAATCCTTCAGATTGTGATGTCGTACTTCTATTCTCAGTTGTGGTTCATGTATTTTGATCTACCAAAGAACGTGTTCTCGAAAAAGTAGCGAATTCTGTCAGCGAACTTACGACGTCTACCAACCATTGGACAATGTCTCGCATTCGCTCCTCATCTTGATTTGATTTGAATGTTATGAGCAAGTCACAATGCGCGGTAGGTTTTGCATATCTAAATAATCTTCTGAGAATCTCAAAAACTGATTGCAATTTATTGTTGGTATATGTTTTGAATTATAGTATCTAATTATTGACAGCTCATATTGATTACCCTTTGATTCAAATGGATTGGCGACTGCAAGGCGGGCTTGTGACCTAGTTACGGTTAGAGAATGATCGGAGAGCACGGGCGCGAGAGAGACGCCGACTGCGTCGCGGGGGCGATCGGCCTCAACCAGGTCGCAAAGCCGCGACTTCCAGTAGCCAATCCAGATGAATCAAAGGTTACATACCTGGTAGCAAATTTAGCTTATTTATTTATTTAATTAATGATAGTTCAAATAATAATATGTACGATATTTCTATAGGCAACCCAGAAGTAAGCCTAGCTCAAGACAATATTCTTTAAGTAGAAACAAGAATGTGAAATACGAAAAAATACCAAAAAAAGACTTTTCTATTGGATTTCAAGAGATATGATCAGGGCTTGGCATAGGTGGCTTACGAAGCAAGCTGAATATCGTTTTTGGGACGAAAAGCAAAGGGGTTTGTTTTTGTGGCCGAAATGGCACAAAATTTGCGACGTTTTTTTAGTTAACGTTTTGTTTTTTGGAGATTTTTTTTAGGAATTATGGTTTAGGTTCAAAGGGGAATTCGTGAAAATTTGGGAAAGCAACTACACTTTTAAAAAAATTTTGTAAAAGAGCAAATCAGCATAAACATCTTTACTTTTCATCTGGCTATCGCTGACCTATACAGAAGGCAAAAATATCCGAATGTTGAAATTAAAGTCTGGATTTCTAGCCCCTGCTTGCAATTGATGTATCCGCTTTATCATTCATCTGCTAGAAGATTGATGACTTAGAGCCTATTTAGGTCAGGGCGTAAGTTTGCATTTGTACTCGAGAGCGAGAATGGTTCAAACACAACTGACTTTAACGAACTCATGCTTTTTTCCTGCACCAGCATTGTGTTAATAATGTCGAGGTCTAAGCTGAAGGGCATTTGATGACTCATACTTGTACGACGCTTACAAATTTAGTCCCAAAAACATACGTGTGTAAAATGATATTACTTTCCAGCGATAACAACGTGTACTTATGCTTTGTAAGACTGAAGCGAGCAAAACAGCGATTTTGATGGCCTAATTAGCGATGGAAGCAGGTATTGTTAAGTAACGATGGTAGATGAGATCTCATTAATAGCCAATGACCTTGTCAAGAGCTTTTTAGGTAAAAAAAGGAGCAGTCAAAGATTGAAAGTAGAAACCGCAGCGAAAAACAAAGATCATATTCCGCAGTTGACGGCAAACTGTTCAAACATATTACGATTCTCATCCAATAGTTTTTTTTTTGAGGACATAAGAGCAGCTTCTCATTGATAGTGCTCTTGCACTCGACTTTTTTAACACGCAAAGTTGGCAGACTCGCTATTAATCGCGTTTTCTTTTCTTTTCTGATTGAAATGTAAGGCGAATAATTTCTCAGTGATAGTTGCTTGTGCACGGAAATGCGTTTACACATACAACAAAAAACCCAGAAATTGTACAGGGTTCAATCCCAGGTTCCGAGAAGAATGACGGAGGAAGCATGTCTAGTCGAAGTGGCCGTTTTAGATGGGATAATACCATATTATTAGGTTGTCAAGAAAATAATGTCGGTTTTTATTTGCTTGCTTTAACAAAGCAACCAGACTCAACCCAACAAAGGGTAAGGGGTACTGTTCAATAGAGCAAAGCAAGCTCTACAAGACGGCACTTATGCCTTTGCACCATGCTCGATCCACGGAGAGTTCAAACCCAAAATCTAAAGATTTCCAAATGCCCAAAAAATCGAAAAAAATCAGATCTTCGTCCAAATAATTTCTACGAACCTCCCACTCGCTCACATCAATACTATCGATATCTGATATCCATATGTGCGATTGCCGTATTTTTTCTTGACTAGAAACTGAGAAAACGAAAATTTCTCTGATTTTCTCAAAGCAATGCTGAGCCGTTTTTGCATATGTAGTTCTATACTACAAGCCTAGGTAAGTATAACTGTAGGTTTTCAGCCTATTTCGAGCGGTACTTTTCGAGAAATGCCGATTTTAGCACTGAAACTGAAACGAAGAAAGCTGATTCGCGTATCGATTGACTGGAGCGCGCTTTCCATCTTAGAAAGCTAGGCTGCTGATGCGATTTTGGGCTCTAACAAGGTCAAGAGGAGGAGTTTCGAAACCAAAATTTCACCATGTAGTAAACTTTAGGTGTACAACAGATTTATGTAAAAATTTTAAAAAAATTATGTGAATTGAGAGTTTTGCCGACCTCAGGTGGGAATTAGGTCGGCAAATGCCGACCTAATTTGGAAATTAGTTAAGCACGCTCTTCATTCACATAAGTTTTTCATAATATTTCATACTTTATTACTTAGTCCTATTGCGCATATACACACCGAATCCCGCGCGATTACGTTACCTCTGCGTTGCAAACGAGCCATTTTTCCATTTCTTTGGTAGCGCAAAGTTTTCAGAAAAAAGTTTGCCACAACCTTCAGTCACACAATTTTTCAATGAAACTCCTCAGTTAAGCCCTGCAAGTCCGTGTGCATGTACTTACCAAGTTTCATACCATATCGTTCATCTGCGCGATTAAACGAGCCGTTTGAATTCACATCTTCATTTACCAGTTTTGCGAAATTCTCGGAAAAAATGCTAATTACTCGTTCCGTTCACATAAGTTTTTCACAATTTTTCATACTATGTTTCCACTAGCCTCTCTCCGTTCGCATACAAAATTTGGTGTCATATCGTTACACATACATTGAGAACTAGTCATGTATGCTGTTACAAATAGCATCGCTTGGGCGACGTTGCGCGTGCGGCAATTAGCGACGGCGCGGTTTGACGCGCGCGAACCAGTGTTCGCCTGTTGAGGCACATAACATGTCAAGATAAGTAGCGAGCATGAACTACCAATTTTTTTTCCGGGGCTCCGCCCCGGACCCCGCAAAAACGATTTCCCCTTTGCCTTTTGGCCCCAAAACGATTTCCAGCTTGTCATTTGCCGACCTCGTGCCGGACCCTGCTCAGCATTGCTTTGAGAAAATCGGGGAAATTTTCGTTTTCTCAGTTTCTAGTCAAGGAAAAAATACGGCAATCGCACATATGGATATATATCGATAGTATTGATGTGAGCGAGTGGTAGGTCCGTAGAACATATGTGAAAGAAGATCTGATTTTTTTCGATTTTTTGGGCATTTGGAAATCTTTAGATTTTGAGTTCGAACTCTCCGTGGATCGAGCATGGCGCAAAGACATGAGTGCCGTCTTGTAGAGCTTGCTTTGCTCTATCGAACAGTACCCCTTACCCTTTGTTGGGTTGAGTCTGGTTGCTTTGTTAAAGCAAGCAAATAAAAACCGACATTATTTTCTTGACAACCTAATAAAAGGCAAAAATTGCTGATTTCAAGTGTGCCTTCCTTATCTGCAGAATGTTTATGGACGAGGACTTATGAGCGCTTATTGGAGCAAAAAATTAGATGTGCAAATAGGACAAAAAAGTTAGAATACTTGTTCTGCTTTCCAATGGAGCTGTGATAACCACTAAAGCGCTCTATTCAAGAAATAAAAAAATAAAAAAAATTCACACTTTTTAGCATTATTGAGGGCTAGTAAGATTTTAACAACTCATTTTATTCAAAATGCAGATCAATTTTTCGCTCCAAAAAACACTCCTCCTCGTCCATAAATCTTCTGCAGATAAGGAAGGCAGTTTGACATCAGCATTTTCTTTCCTTCAATATGGTATGGTGTATACATCCCATTTAGAAAGGCCATTCGACTAAACAAGCTTCCCTTGTGAGAGCGATGATACTGTTTATATTATTAATAGCAGTTTATACTAGAATAGTTTAGAATCAGAATTTGGAATTTTAATAATAATAATTTAATAATTTAATAATTTTCAATAATAATTTCAATGATAATAATTTTAATAGCAATTCATCTGACAAACATTGTAGCGCTCCTGTTTACCAGGAAATACGAAGTGGCGACAAGTCAAGTTTCGCTTTTCTAGTAACATTTTTTTCAGAGAACAGTTTCTGCACGGAAATTAAGAGCTATGCGTAAACAAATCAATCTCGAACGTGTGCTAAATTCATGACCTCTAAAATGTAGGATTTAGAGATATAAACGACAGATGAGAATACCCATTCGATGGTTTATCGCATTTCACCTTATACCTACTTCTACATATTTCTAAAGTATTCTGAATAGCAACGCAGCACAAAAGTTAGTCTTTAGCAGAGAGAGAGAATGTATCAAGTGAAATCATAGTTCCTCACCTGATAGAATCACTTAAAAATTACATAACATACCTCCACAAATCACTGCTAAGAGCAAATCGTTGTCCTTCTACAATACCATTTTGTATAAGGCTGCCAATTCGCATTTGCATGGAACGTAGTGGACCTAAAATATTTTTTACTGATTTGAAATACGTGTTTTTTTTGTAACTTTGATTTGTATCTGTCAACCTCACTATTTGTTACTCCAAGTGTGAAAGAATTTTTTGAGAGTTATTATTGACGGAAAACATCGTAGTACGACAGCTGTCCATGCATCAACAACTACTAGAGCATTGGTTCCGCTGGTGTAAAAACGTCGGCAAAGCTATTTCAAAGTCCAAAATACAAAGAATAAAAACGATATCTACTGTTTTCTTCGTTTGTTTCATAGAGTAGGTTGAACATAGAAGCAAGAGTAAAACAACTGTTTGAGAAAAAACTGTTTGGAGAAAAAATTTGAAGAATTCAGCTTCAGCGAATTTAGAAAATCAGCAAGTCTCACCATCTGAGGCTAAACGCAATTTCGCGACCTCAAATGTATTCTCCATAATCGATAGAATGGACCGCGAGTACCAAGATAAGGAGCATTTGTAGTGAGTCACAAACAGAAAAATACGACTATTTATCTTGCAAGAAGGAAAGTTACGTGTTTTTTTTGAGGCAAATTATCTTGATAAGTCGGAACGCTCGCGATGTAATCCTCCTTCGCAAGATTAGGAAAAACGACGTTGTATGTTCAGTGAAATGTCATATAAAGAGAAAAGTCTGGAGTTTAAAGTTATTTTCCAATTAGAAAAGGCGAAGAAGATGTGGCTCATGGAATAATATATTTATCGATATCGTTCACGATGTAAAGCTAGACAACAGAAACACAAATTGGTTTAACAGATAACAATTTGTCACTATAATCAAGAGAGAATGAGAGCTTATCAACTACATTATAGTAAAAATCCAAGATACGAAACAATCACAACTCTTATACCCAAAATCTCAAGTAAATTTCAACGATACTCCTAGATATATGGGTGCGGGCCCAATATGAAGTTTTCCCTATACTTTGAGAATATGGTCAAAAACGTAAAATCTTAAAGCAGTTCTAAAACACAAATAATCACGGATAAATGCAGTAATTTCTGGAAAGCACCTCATGACGCCACCAAAAAGCCAAAAACAAGATCAATCGTTTACTTGAGATGATTGTGATAATATATGAAAAAGCCCTAATTTTTGAAGGTGGTTATGTGTTTTCAAACGGCTGTTTCGACAGCAATTTCAAAGAAAAATAGTTACTCATATAATTGTAAAACTCGATGAGACGTTGTGCTTGGACTACAAAACATCACAAGATAGCATATTCATAAAACTCGTTTTAAGTCTTCATTTGAGCTCATCATATAAAACAATCTAACATTTGAAAAATGCTACATATGTTTACAATGATGACAGCAGACATTTACATTTCAAGAGCTTGACATTTTGAACTAGGATTAAGCATTGAGATAATACTTAGTAAATGTTAAACGTTAAAATTAGCCTTGCAAAATTCATAGAGTCTGAAATTCGTGTTTGTCACTTATAGGTGAACATGAAACTTTGCAATAAACGACAGCTTAGAATTATCGGAGCACCCAAGTTAAAGTATTTTTTGCAGAAGTCGGCCATTTTTGCCAATTACAAAGTAAATTCTACTTGATAAAATGGCTGTAGCAATACTTTACACAAAAGAACTGACTCGAGCTTTTGAATCATGAAATTTTAGAGGATGTTGCAGACTAAGCAGTAAAACTTCTTTTTAGTACTTTGAGATCGTAGTTTAAAGGAAGAAAAATTCACTTACTATGCTCGCAAAGGATATATCTTCTAGAATAAGCCGAAGGCTATGCGCTATACTGTGAAAGGCATGGCAGCAGAACAGCTGTTTTGAGGGGTTGCCTTCACATGGATACACTGGGTGCTCCCATTGAGGAATTGTGAGTGAAAATCGATATGCGGCCGCCTTTCAGCCTTCTGCTAGAAAAATTTCGAGCTCCTATCCGGCCATAAGTATCAATTCACGTATCACATTCATGCTTTTCAGAAAAAAATTTTATCTTGCAATATTCAGTGGGACGTCACTCTCGAAATTTCTAGAAGATGTACCAAACCGATGACTAGTCTAACTCGTGGAATTTTATGAGATTATGCTTTTTATTCAATAACATTCTATGCTAAATTGATATACAGCTTCACACTACGAACTTCTTCTTTATTACGTTTTGGGGGGTAGTCACGAGTTTATGCAAGTAAGTCGTTTCTCATAGTAAATGATTGTATTAGTTTTATTCTATGATACATCAGCTTTGTGACTAATTTCCTCCTTTGAGCTTGCTAAGAAACTGAGAAGTGACACAGAATTATCTGAAAGGTGTTCCGTCGCATTATCTCCCTCCCCCCCCCCCCCTCTCCCCTCACCCACTAAAAATTTTTGGTGTTACTGACAGGAAGTGGTAAGTTTTACCATCGGCGTAAGCAAGCGCCTTCCGAAATGCTTCCAAAGGATGAAAAAATTACTAACGAGAAGCGCTAAATTCAAAATGTAACCTTCATGAGAACAGCTTGAGCTATGAGCTTGTTAAGCTGTTATTGTTTAGAAGATAAATCGAATGAAATTGCTATTTACCCACAGGTAAGCAAAGCCTAATTCAAGATGTGCCAAAAATCACAAGAAGTCTGGCTTTTGAGTTGCAACTTCATTCTTAAAGGCAGCTCGAGAATTTCGTTTTCCAAATTCATACTTTTTCGAAGCCTTCTCGCCATAAGGAACCCATATATGGGCTTTTCAGCGCATGTAAATGGCGAAAGTGAGCTTTTTCTGAATCTTTCCAGGTCCGCATTTAGTGGAGAATACGCGCAAGTAGGCAGGGTGCGGAACGAGGGAGCGCGAAAGGCTTTCGACATATCTTAAAGGCAGTGTCTCATCAAAGCTGAGGTTGCGGGGATCTTTACATATTCTATTATAGGGACCTCTAGATAGGCCATTGCAACAAGTCTCACCCAATTTGACCCCCGTTACGCTGAGAAAAATTCGCTCAAAGTGGTACGCGGAGAGCCAGTTGGTACGCGCGGACGACTCCTTCGGTCTCCCCCCTTACGCGTTTGAACATGTCCCTCCACTTGGCATCCACCTCCCCTCTGTTGCTGCCACTGTGGCTGAGGCTGAACATGGAAGGTATAACTCGTCCACGTTGCTTCCGCGGGGCCTCCAGAAAACGGGGTTTTTGGGAACTTCGTGCGATTTTAAGCCCATACAGTGCTAGACAGGGTCCGACAGGCTTGCAAAATGCAAAAATTTCGGCAACTAAATTTTGGTGAGACACTGCCTTTAACTGAATGCGGACCTGAAAAGTTTGGAAAGCGAGAAGGTTCCGAAAAGGTGAAAAATTGGAAAACGAAATTCTACCGAGATTGCCGAAATTCTGCCTTAAACAACATCGAAGTTTTCACAGGAATTCCCATATTCCAGGACAATTCAATATTTCCTAACTATAACTATAACTTAACTTCTAACGGAACCCACTTATTTCTTCTTCCACGTTGTCGACATCGACATCTTCTGTCACATCAGTAGACGAGTCGTCGAGACGTCGTAGCCGAATCACTGGTCTCGTTGTACATGCGCTCTTACTTCGCGTGCGAATCAGACTTGGTCTGGTTGGCTTCAATAACATTTTGGCTTAGGCTAAACAGCCCTGAAAAGCTCGTTCCTATAATCTATCGAAATTTTATCGAACATCGAATTTCGCAAGAGTGACAAAATGAGAGAGGAGTGAATTCATCAGCTGATAGCTTTCGCAATGGGGAGAAACTAACGACTTCCGGTGATTGTTCAGCTGAGCATGCACCCTAGATATATTCGTTCGCACTTTTGATTATTGAAATGAACAGGCAAAGATCTACCTCCTTTGTGACTATTTCTTTTCGCAAGTATATACTTTCCTTGAAGGAAAAGAAGACCACACACATTGTAATGCAAAAGTTCAAATTTTTTTGAATACTTTCGAAATGCTTGGATCTTCGACAAAATTCACCGATACTCACATCGAAAATAGCAGAGCAGCGACAAGGTAAGGATATTTGATAAAGTAAAAACTTGGAACGACATGTACATGCACAGACATTTCAATTTATGAATGTTTATTTTTGATTTGTAAACTCTGGATAATCAATATCCCTGATGGGAAGTTTTTTAGAGAACAACATGTAAGGAGACCTCATTTCATCTGAAGTGATCAACTGAAATTGATAGGCGATACAGCGAAAAAGTCTAGCTTGATAATTTTGACCCTTTGCAATGACTTGGTTTTGCGGAAAAAAACGCCCTTAACTCTATAGAAGGAGTCGCTTCACAGATAGATAAAATACAGATTTATTTAGCATATAAAAGCTCTTTCATTGAGATACAATTCATCATGAACAATTGTAGTCATGAGATTATCCTATTGAAAAGGAAGCAAGCTCGTTCTATCCATACAATTACACAGCCTTCAAAATTTATTTTGAGGACTGGTTAGAAGCCAATAATATCTGTCAAATGAGTTGACTGATAGAATACTGGAAAATGGTCATGTAAAAACCTTATAGTTTTGATTGAAATCAAAATATCTTTTCCTTAACCAAATCGTCAAAGCCACAGATAGTTCAGAAAATGACGGATTTCAGAATTCAATCTTCAGATTGTAATTTTTTTAGCTTTTATTAGCAAAAATTGTTGCCAATTTATCTTTCAAAGGCGTAAAGAATTAAATCCCGTATCTGTTATATGACTCAGGACATGTAGGTCTTGTTGGTTTTTATCAATTTCTTTCGCAAGAATAGAAGAATTCTTCCTCTAACGTCTTTCATTCTAAGGGAAAAGAAAATAGATATGTAGACAGCTTCGAGTCTATATTGAAAAAAAAAGAAAAAGTAGACGTGCAAGAAGTAATTACATCAAAATTCCTGTTATAAAAGGATGTGACAGCGAGGGCCCAAAGGCAAGTGTACAATGAAAGTAATGACACAAATGAGCTCGTCGGCTGTAACAAACAACAGACGTTGAAAAGACCAGCGCTTGGAGACCTGAAGATGAGTGATGTGTGAAAGCTGACAGAAAAGTGCACAAAATCAACACGAAATTTAGCAATAATAGCAATAAAAGGTCGTACAAACAGATCCGCATTTTAAAGCTCGGGCATAGTCATGCAGACAACGATCAATCAGCGATGATTGAAAGATTGAAAACCATTCATTATTTGCACACTATAGCCCATTAAGAACACCACAATCGTTATCGACTGAATATAACAATAACAAAAAGTGAAAACAGGGGTATTATTTTATTTGAAACACAACTTTTCCCTAAAATAGATGGAAGTAGCTCCATATGAACCTTTGGTCTTGTAGTCAATGTTGATGCTAATTTTGGACCCCAATCTTCAATGAAAATTTGATTTTTTTGTTGAACTTCTCGAAAACCATGATGTTTTGTGAACTATTCAAAGCCATAATTTCTCGTGAAAAATACGGTTCATATAAGTCTTCTCAAAAGTAGGAGGGTCGTATATTCTACATTGTAGAAAACGAAATTCAATGCGTCTTTTCGCAAAAAATTAACCATTTCTTATACAAGTCTGGATTTGTGCGATAGTACGGCAGTTCAAATTAGGCTATTAACATGCATAATCTTCCTCCAAAGTTCAAAGCATGTAGATGTATTGAAATCGAGACCATTTTATTACAAATTTTGTTACAAATGTTTCCAACAAGCCCAGGTAGTTGGGTATAAATTCGTAATAAAGTGCTTTTGATTATTATCTTATTCTTTTTGAGTTATAATTGCAGAGTTGTTCTTATGCATTGCTTATATCCGAAATTTTGTAACAAAAAAATATCTCCAGCGTAAATTTTCTCTTCTTCTTGCATTCAGAATCAAAACCATTTCAGCATTATAAGAAGTTTCTTGAAATATGCACCGCTGCTTGAAGTTCCTTGAAGGGCACCGTCCAAACAAATCTGAGGTTGATTTGGATGAAATACAATAGTGGGCCTCTAACTAATTGACTGTTCAAGTCGTAGCAAATAATCGCTCCAAAGGGGGACGTTGCTGGGGTCGCCACGCCCATCAACGTGGGTGGTGTGACAGTATGGGCCCGAAACTACTCCAGAATCTCCAATTATGAAAGTATGCCTTTTGAGTTGAAAGATTGATTTTCAATATCTCAAGGATTTTTGAGTCTGTTTCCGGGCTTACTGCTTTCGCACCATCCACGATAGTGGGCGTGGCGACCCCAGCAGCTCCAATTTACAAGCATTTTTACCGCTTAGGGATGCACCTCTGCTGCTAAACTTGGGCAGTCACTCATTTAGGTGCTTGCTTGTATCGCATCTTTTTTCTCATTTGGGTGGCCGCTGCGATACACTCTCTTGTATCAGGATTTTTTTTGCTAAGTAGCGTGTTATCGAATTGTCACCAACTTCGATTTTACAGTAAAATAAATGGTCACCTTTTTATATAGGCGAGGAACTATAAAAATATACCGAGAGAACTAGATACTTCTAGTTTGCGTCCCTAATTCTAAACACAGTTTCCACCTGAAGCGAGACTTATTGCGAAGATACGCCATGTACCGCAAGAAATGTTCCGAAGTTTGTCAGAATTTCGATGTTAACAGCAGCCTTGAATCCGGTTTTTTATTTTTAGAGTTGGTGTATTACAACTCCATCACAAAACTTTGAAGTTGTTTCTTGATATTTTCTGCAATCACCCTCGTCATTTCATGTTAAGTTTTTGCAGTAATTTCGGGGTAGGAAAACGAAAGCCGCCAGTTTGAGCCGTCTTTCGCGGCCAACTGGTCCTTTCGCAGTGTTGTTGCATGTCGTTCCAGGACCAGCAGTCCGCAGAGGCGGCCCAAACTGGCGGCTTCGTTCCTCCACCCGTAATTTCGCAGCATTAGGCCTAGGGCATACCTCACGCGATTTTAGTCGCCGCGCAAAGTGGCACTGCAACGACTCTCCATAGCTGGTCGTGAACGCACTTTGCTTGGGCCTTGCTGTGTTTGTTACAGTTTACGGAGTCTACGCACTCATGCATCTGAGAGGCTTGCATGCTTAATCTCTAGCCATCTGGCAAATCGCTAAGTCGCGAGGATGTGCGATTTTTCGAAATCGCGAGAGGTATGCCTTAGGCCTCAAAGAGGGATCGTCGGTTTTAACTGTCTTTCTATTGTGAGTTGAAGCGAAAATTCAAAATGGGCCTTGAAGGTCTGCGAAAGTCACTGAAAGCGGGATAGTTATCGACGCCAAAACGTGCATTTGCTATAACTTAAATGTCGCGGAGATAGCTCTGAAGTAGTCATTCGGCATAAAATGAAGCCATTTATAACAGGCAAGCGCTGCGCTCCATGATCATAAATTTGAAAAAGTCTCTCTCAAAAGCTAATGAGCAGCTAATCTCAGTCAGGCGCTCAAACAAAATATAACAAAGACCAGCAGAGAAAACTTTTGCTGTATGTACATAATTTTCATGAAACGCACATATACTGCAAATGCACCCTCGAACTGAAGCGCTACAAGCTTTTTTGCAAGAAGCTAAAAATCTACTTTGCATGGAATCTGCAATATTACAGATAGACACAATTATCGGCTCAGAGGTCCTCTGTAGGTCTATCTCTTCCTCTCAACTCATGCTGGATTGGTGTCGCCATCTCCCAAAAGAATTCCTTGTTGTAGAGCAGAGATTTCATTGGATTTTTCTAAAATAATTTATTATTATGTTAATACTATGTACAAAAATGTCCTAACAAATTCTGACTTATCATCTCAAGAATTATAAGAAGAAGAATTTATACTACAGTATAATGCATTTTAAATATCTCTTTTTGAGCATGTTGATCCATTGAGATAGGATTTGGAAATTATTAGCAACTAGCTGGCTTACCCGGCTCCGCCGTATGTTCCGAATAGAAAATTCCATTTCTGAACCGATCCGGATCAAAGCAGGTACCCCCCCCCCAATCTCATGGGACGCTGCCTTTGAAGTTGCTCCATTTTTTCAATTTCGAGGGCTGCAACCTCGGAAATTTGCTGATTTTTTCCATCACTGGGAGATTCCACCTCAGTTAAATACTAGCAACTTTGGTCTAACTCTTCACACACAGAGAAAAGCTTTAACGATTACTTTGTTCAGAAAAGTTCATACCCACTAGATGGCCATGAACAGTGATCATGTTGCCGCTCCAATATCTGTCCTCCCGCGATCCTTAGAAGAAAGCTTTATGTAATCTGAGGCATTTTAGCTACGTTCTCATAAATACACACTTAATGGATGAGGAAAAATTATGGTAAGGGTGTATTTATGATGAGCGAAACTGATTCTAAGAGTATGGATAGCGCTTCCAGAAAGCATCGAATTGTTCGCGAAGATTAATTCGAAAATGCACTCATAAGCATCTGCAGCTAAAAGTTAGCAACTCTAATGCAAGTCAACTGCATCACTTTAAAGCTTTACATCAAGCTCAAATTTTTAACGTCGAAGTGTAACGTCATGATCACAGATTAGCAAGAAATTCCCCCTTACGATTTTTTATTCAAATAAACTTGGGATAAACGTTTATGCAATGGGGACGAAACTACAAAATAATGAAAATGTTTTGTATGGTCAAATAAATGCATTTAGATATTTGTTCATCTGGAGTTTTCAGCAGCGTTGATATTGGATTGATCCAAGAGTGAGCGTGCATGAGAATTAAAATCCTAACAGCCGCCTACGGAAGTGGGGGGGGGGTCTCTGATATGCAATTAATTGGTATCGAACATGGTACCAATTGGTACAATTACTGAACTCTTACCAAATTTGTTAGAAAGAAAAAACAAGTCGGGTATTAGAGTATTTCCAAAATGACTGCTCTTATGCGTGGGCTCGCTCACTAAGACTAGTGTCCCGATATAAATATGATATATGTCCCGATATCCTGTGTATCATCTTATTATGATAGCAATGACAGCTATCTCTCTATGTAAAGCGCAGCGGGGCCCATCTGACGTCACGCTGCCGAGACGATGTCATCCATTCCGTCTGTCTCGAATGCACCCACTGCACCCAAATTGATGACTCATCTTTTGTTTGGGCCTATTCCCGAGGTGTTGATCAGGATGCCCTTTCATATCGGTTCTGAGCGGTAACATTGATTTACCACATTACCAACGACAGTCCCGTATTTCAGCTTTTTGAAGCTGTGCGAATTTTTATGGTAGCAGATCGAGTTTTCCACCATTTCCAGGCTCAACTGTAAATTATACTCTAGAACAGAACAACTCAGCAAAGTTGTAGTTACTGCAGCAGCGATTGTAGATGCAATCTTCCATCTTCTCTATCATACTCGGAAATTTGCTCCTCTTAATTATTTTTGCAACATTACCATACTGAGAGGCAGAAGCGAGGGAGTTTCGTCCACTATGGGTTGAAACTGAAGGGAGTGGGCAGACTAGAAAGGTTTCCAGACAAGGAAAACTAGGAGTTTGGAAAGTTTAGGCCAAAGAGAACTATTCGCTGCTTGAGTCGTCACCCACAAGATGGAATGCAAGTTGGCTGCATCATCAAGTAGACTTTGCTAACCTCAGGAGTGTAAAGTTGCAAATTTTGAGTGCAGTTTTTTATCAGTATTTGCACAATCCAAAAGTCATATGAACAAGGTTTTGCTTGGATGATTAGCTGAAAGGAAAATCACACTTCAATAATGGGTCTCTTCGTAGAAAAGATTAGAAGTCTACTGAGAAAGCTGGAAAGTGAGTGGATTTCAGTCCGCTTGGGACGAAATATCATGGGGTGAAGGTATGACAAATTCGAAACTTCTGTAAAACGAACGGAGGGTTTTGGCAGTAAGTTTTTCTGTAGGTGAAAAGGAAATGTGCATGCTTCCTAAAACAGAACACTTTGCAAAGAGGAGGTAAAGAGGGGGGGGGGTGAACAGGGCTGGGAGAACTATGTCGAGTGTGAGACGGCCATCTCGGCCAAAGGAACTCTTGAATGTAGAAGTGTGAGGGCATCCAAGTAAGTATTGTCGGAGGAGTGAGGAACACTGGCATTTACAGGCTCAATCGTATTGAAGAAATCTTGGGTTGAAAACGCGCGCTCGCAAAAAGCGAAGAACTCCGCACTATCATCTGTAGCAGACCGCAGACGTGTTGCTACACCATGGCGTTGCGGAGTGCGTCATCTGAATTTTGGCGTGATCCAGATTGGGTTAGGTAGACGTGTAAGTGGCCATTTTGAATACAGCAGCTTCGAGGCAAGGTTTGAAGGCTTAGTTAGAATTGAGAAGAAGGAGAATCGATAAAGATTAGTAGATCACGGAACTTCATATAGAATCTTTCATGTGAAAAGGAATTGGTGGGGGAGAAGGGAAGTAGAGCAATTTGACTAAAACTTGACTTCGACAGCCTCTTGGTTTGTCAAGTGTCTATAATTCTTGCTATATTTTGAGGAGGAAAAGGTTCGCCACAGGACTTTAGGACTTTCAAGTTTTGGACGATTTACAATTCACAGACACAGCCAGTCCAAAGCGCCGCGAAGCGGCGCCTTGAACTGATTCTAGAATAATAACAAGTCAAAGCATGTGAAAGGAACTATAAAGGGTTCATAATTAAAATTGACTGTTTACATCCAACTTTTTTTCTGCAATAAAAGCAGAGGCCCAGAGACATGAAAACGGATGTTTCTGAGAATAAAGTTGTATTGACAATAAATAACGACGTTCTGCATTTGATGAGCCTTGTCAGAATTGCATTCGTATCGATATCATATTGTGTCAAAAAGTCGTTAAACGAGGACATTTGCGCCATTACAAAAATATTTGCTACATGCACAATATCAAACGAGCTCTTGCATCAGAGGTGGATAGGCATCACTGAAGAATAATTTCCACGCTGAGAAGGAAAGGGAAAAATAAATACATTATTTTTGAATTTTCAAAATTTTCACTAAAATTTGTTAACACGGGAGGTTCACAAAGTCGAAATGGTCAATCACTACAAGCTATGTGCCAATGATGAAAGCTTGGAACAACAGAAATCTGCTTTTCGTATTTGCAGAGCGCCCGAAAAGAAATTATGAGTATTTTTTGGGGCGAAAAATGAAATGGCCGAGATAAAATAAATTCTTTCGGACTTTCTGGACGTCAAATGGAGAAATAGGAAGTACTGATATGATAAGGAGAAGGAGTTTATTGTATGAAGTATCCTGACCTTGCCGTTGCTTCGTATGAGGTCCACAGTGGCTGTAGCGATTGATATTATCCCAGCATCAGTCCATTTTTATACTTCGAATTACTTTTTCCCCAAAGGCGCTCTGTAGATAAGGAGAGCAGATTTGGAATCAGCGCTCCAAGCCTCACTTATGGTATGCAGTTTGTAGTGGTCGGCCACTTTGACTTCGTAACTCTCCCCGGTAAGATTTACAGTTAGCTACCATGCAGGGTAACCATTTACGATAGCAAACAGAGCAAGGACAAAACTGAACAGAGAACTAACACTTTGCCAGCTGTTGTCACAACGTTCGGGCCCTGTGGCACTTTTCAGTCTCTTAGCGACGAGGAAAAAAGACAATTAACAGAAGCATAAAATAGATGTTCTAGTCACCAGTACTCTAAAATTTTTGTGATAAGGCAGGCACTAGCTGCATTTATATGTTCGAAGTTCTTTATCTGAAAGGCTTATACATTTTCCTGTTTCCAGCCAAAAAATGGGGTCATTTTTTCTTATCGTGGCAGCAGGAGTCACTTTTCACTTTCAAGTCTCTGTGAAAAAAGAAACGATATCGCATAACCTTTACACATATAGATTCAAAGCAAAAAAGTACTCTTGAAAGTCAACAGAGGAACCGCATTGCAGAAATGTAAGGGTCATGTGTGAGGAGACAGCGACAATTATCTAGTTGTTGACTTATGCCAAAAATGGTAAACAGTCCGCTGGGGAGCAGAGATGAACATTTCATTGAGCATTCTTAATTCACATTTGTTCTGAAAAAGCTACACCCATAGCTATAGAATTTTGTTCTTTCCTTACCAAATGCGCTATCTGTACTGTACTAAGCGCTAATGTTTGCCTAAAATTCTCTTGGAAGCTTTAAAAAATCAATAATTCAAACGGGGAGATTAAAATATATGTATGTAGGCAGTTGTTACTATTGACGAGATACCTATGATCCTAACATTTTTTGATTCACGATGCATCCTTACAAAACACCAAGGATCTTCAGACGATCTTTCTCAGACCGAAGCAAATTATAATATTTCCACTGTTTATAATCAATCTCCCAATCAAAACTTCACCTGAAAGATCACAGCTTATGAGAAGAGTATTCGCCTAGGGCTAAAGCTATACAAAATCGCTAAATATGAACGAATCCGGTCTCAAAGCCTCATTTCCGACCGAAATATACTACTTACTTCGAAAACTGCAGTCCTTCCGGATAGTAGGTAAAAGCAACACTCAAAGGATAAGAACAGAGATCATTCCCTACTTCTTAGTTCCCATACCTGTATCCTGAAATTCTTCCCATAGATGCTGCCGCCGAACAGCTCACTTGCCATCTTCGCAGCGTTAGTGGTAGAGCCATATGGATACTTTGAAAAGGGCGCGAAAGGCAGCGCAAAGGAGCGAGAGGCATGCGAAGCGGTGAAGGCTGCGCACAGCATTCATTCTATCTGGAAGACGGACAAGAGGCGCGATTTCGACTGTTACCAACTAAATAGTCCTGTTTGTGATGTGCAAGTGTTAAAAGGAACAAAGTGCTTCGCTTTCTAGATGTTCGAAGTTACCATCTGCTGAGTTTCATGGCTCTTCAACAATGACCCAGGTATCTATAGATCTCTTGTCAATTGCATTTTTTGGGATTTCTCATCTCCAATGTTTAAGTTTTCAGTCTTTTGAGAAGTAATAAGACAGGAAAACCCATGCAGCTATCTGTTGTCTCTGACAAGAAATATGAATTAATTCTAGAACGTCATAAAACACAGAAAATATGCACTCTGATGTGCAGCTCTCAATAAAGATCGCGCCTCTTAACAAACACCCATTCCACCCACGGAATATTTTTTGTTAAAAATCAGGGTAAAAAAGACTTGCACCATGTATAGCACATCGCGAAACGTTTCAAAATCCACCTAAGCGTGATTTATTAAGGCGTTTGAAAAATCAAATTTCATGAAACTTGCATCACATTTATAATTCTTCGTTTGTAAATCAATACACATTCCAACTAAATATTCTTAAGTAAGATAATCAAAGACGAAAAACAGCCTATAATATGCAACAACGTCAACAATTATGAAACATAGACAAAACGAAAGATAAAGGGTCGAAATAGCAGAAGTGAAATGTCAGCAATCACAATCGCAGAGACAACTGTTCCAAGCACAGAAAAAGTCTTCTGATAATGACTAGCACAAAAGTGATTCCGATACGGTGATGTTGTTTATACCAGAGCAAGTTTCGAAGATAAAGCAAACATGCGGACATGAAAAATGGGCGATTGAGACAAGTGGAAGCACAAGAAAGTAAGTAATGTCAGACCCAGGGTGCCACATCCATCGAGTCTTTGTCAGCATTCAAGCTGCAAGACAGCTGCTTAGCACCTATTCATTCATTTGATGAGTGGATGGAGATCACGCTGAAATGTTCTTTTTCTGTCTCTGCAAAACAAAATAATGTCGAAATTTGTCAAAAGTTCCAAGGGCTTCTCGGCACTTTCTTCGCTTTTGGGTTTTTTTCGGCGTAGTATGACGGGTACCTAAGTGGGCAAGTAGCTCGGGACACATAAAAAATTCTGTTTACTTCAACACTCATATGTATATGCGAAGTTGAGACTCTGCACATATCTCATGAGGATGTGAAAACGTACTCTAAGAGAGATCGCTTGCAAAAAAGATAACATTCAAAAGTTATAAAGGAGAGGTGAAAGAAATTAGGGAAATTCAAATATCATGCTTGCCGCAATATGATCTTGTGTCCTCTGTACATGTGTGAGGGTAGACCGCTTACATACCTCAATTTCGACCGAAATCTCCAAAAACCAAAAAATAACTTTTGTTGCAATATTAGGTTGCAACAAATTAACGCAGGTTCCCCAAATTCTGACCTTGAAACACTCGAAGTTTATATAGAAATACCGTTGACAAATTGGAATTACTCATTCCTTTCTCTATAAATTCTCTCGCCGGGAACGAGGAAAAATAGCTGTGAATTCTTCTTACGGATGTTCCTCTCTTCTTTCTGGACACAGCGAAAGCTCTGCATCTGTATGCGCTCAAGATTTCTGTACAGCGCAGAAGGACTGCTGCAATCGTTTAAGATTGCGTTGAGATTTCCAGTCCGAAAACTTCTGAGGATTTTGTTTCGATGTGAGCTTTGTAGCACGACTCACAACTGTTAAGCAGGTTTCAGAACGTTTCGATTTTTCGCGGTGGATTCCAAAGAGTGAACGTAGGTAATTAGGTAGGTTTAGGTAGTAAAAGTAGTTTAGGATTTGTATGTTGATTTCAAAGACACCGAATTTCGTAGCTCACACCTACGGGAATGAAAGCATGGGTAGAAAATTACGGCCCGTATGCACGCCTCCCCACGAAGATATACGTGCATACGGGCCTAAAAGGGTTGTGCAACCAGCCCTTCAAACAGAAATTCGAAAACTTGCATTAATTCTGTTACGATCAACAATAAGTAAGAGCAAAACATGTTCCCAAGAAGATGGCCGAATCAAAAATGGCAGTTGACTGCTGCACTGTACTGCTGCATGTGTTTAATTTTGCTTTCTGGTCTTTTAATCTACATGACACGAAAATCAACAAAGATTTTCACAGCTAAAAGTCACAACTGAAGTGCATGGTGATACCCAACACGTTATGAGTTTTTACAATCTGTTGGGCTATGGGTTGTCTAACAACAGCAAGAGATAAAACTTAGTCTAACGAAGGATGGTTCGTTGAAGTGGCCTTTCGGGACCGAACATACCCATCTTGAAGGGCATAAAACGCTGATTAAAAATCTGTTTTTCTTATCTGCGGAGCGTTTCTGCGCGAGGAGTTGTGAGCGTTTATTGGAGCAAAGTCGAATGTGTGTATGAAATAAAAATAGCTTTAGCATTTTTCTTATCTCTTGAATGGAGCGGTCATAATTATCAGAACACCTTATGGTGTATGTCAAGAGGCGCGATTTTTATTGCCAGCTGGACACCAAATAGCAAATAATAAGTGTTTTGCAACCTTCTAAAATTATATGAAATTTGGAAGAAGATATATTAGGTAGTTGCATGAGTTGTTCAATCTTGATGCTATAGAAAAAATTTAAAAGAGCAATTTTGAAGGTCAAAAACTCATGAAAATGCAATTCACAACAAATTCGCAAATATTTCAGTCCGATTTATAGCAAAAACCATGAAACTCAGCAAATGGTGACCTCAGACGGATAGTAAGCTACTGCACTTTATCCGGTAATTTTTGAAAACTCGCATAGCACTCAACTGGAGTTTTAAGTTGGTGACAGCCAGAGAAATCGCGCCTCTTGACCATCTCCCCTAAAAATCATGCAATTTCTGACCCAGTATATGCTCATAACTTCCCGTCCATGAATGCTCCGCAGTAAAGGAAAACAGATTTGAAATCAGCGTTTTATGCCCTTCAAAGTGGTATATGTTCCGTCTCAAAAAAAAACTTTGACTAACCATCCTTCCCTAGTAAGTGTTGATCGAAAGCGTACCGCTAGATGTCGCTGATTCAGGGAAATCCCTTCTGTGAGTTTTTACCTCTGACGCTTTGAATAGTGTGATTGCAGTGGCGCATTTGTCGATGATATCTGCGCGTGAGCGAATTGCCCGAAGGCGAAAACCCGGAAACGAGCGAGTTGCAATTTGCAAGCGCAAGATGCAGGCACTGCAGGCGGAGCAACTCATTCACGCGCAAATATTGCTAGCAGATCTTGACACTGCAGAAACACTACAGTGAGCGTCGAATCTACTAATTTATACATCCAATGGGCAATGCCGCAATATGCAACCTCGTGAGAAAAGCGATTAATAAAGAGTTGTTTAAGAAAATGTCACAACTAACATTTCTACTGACCATGCAAATCAAACTCAAGCGGAAATCCGTGATTCATAAAAACGCATGCAGATCGGATACAAATCTAGCCTAGTATTGGAAGCAATTTTGCATCATTTCTTAAACCCCCGATTCCTCCGAATATGCTGTTAGTATTCCCAGAAGTACAACTCGCAGCCGTTTAGTCTGCAAAAGTTGCCTAGCAGTGAGCGTCGATTGACGCGTGATTCACTATTTGCATCTGATCAGATGACTCAACGTCAGAAGCCCATACCATGCTCCCCCTCCTCCAGCCGTTACTAATGCTTCCTTCAGCTTATTGCTAAAACCAAAAGCAAACAAGATAATTTATTACTGAGCGTTGTTACAAATACTTTGAGAGGATTTCCAATAAAAACGTCGAAAACACTACAAGATTTCGGAAAGGCCACCTACATGCAGCCACCCGGCTCAATTACACCAACTTCGTTATCTGGGAAAGCATTGTTACAAATACTTTTTCTATGTTGATTTTTCTAGCTTTTGGAGAGTAGAAGAAAAGACAAGCTGTGAATTGTCAGAGGTAGCACATTACTTTGACGCTGATTGCAGCATTTCAACTGTGGGTGTGTCAACTGTAAACAAAACTCAAAAACTTCTCGCAGTGGTAAATTCAGTCAGCGAGCATGGTCAAGAAGAAACTTAACGCATTGGTGGATGGAGAAAGTTTCACGGGAAAGCAAAAAAGGTGAAAGACTTGCATTTTTCAAGAAACTCAGGTTTTGGCAAATGTGAGATTTTAAGGTCCATAATATATCGCAAACCGTTCTATAGGATGCAGGAGAATATTCCAATGATTTGAGAGGATTTCCAATAAAAACGTCGAAAACACTACAAGATGTCGGAAAGACCACCTACATGCAGCCACACGGCTCAATTACACAAACTTCGTTATCTGGGAAAGCATTGTTACAAATACTTTTTCTATGCTAATTTTTCTAGCTTGAATAAAACAACTCAAACAAAAGATCGACAGTACTGACCAAATGGCAGGTTCATGAGCAGGGTCAAGCAAGGGGTGTGGCACACGATCGCTGGTTACGACCCCCCCCCCCCTGATTGCTGTTTCAATAAGACCCCCCCACCCTGAATTATACCTAAGATAGCATTACCTGAAGGCCCTGTCACATAATGGGCAACATATCCATATTGATCATGTCAATTAACCCCTGTAGACTAAGTTTGAGCGAATTCTGAAGATTCAAGATAGTAGGCTACCTAGGTGAAATGGTCATTTTCCAACATGGTTAACTTTGTTTCAAAGGTGAATTAGCTATCCGTTTTTGCACTCAAGACAAAGCAATGCTCCTTCTTTGTCCATCTCAGAAATCCCGCTTCAAAAGACCTCCAAACTGTGGGATTAGAAGCCAACAAAATCTCATTTTTCCCATTTTTCACTTTCAATGGCTGTGCTTTCACCAACTATTACTCAAAGCAAAAAAAAAACGAATCAGGCTCAAATCACTCTTGTGAAAACTAGGAGATCTAGGCTATCAATTTATCTAAATAGGTTTGCTAAAAATGTTCTTATGACATAGTTAATGGGGTGTGGCACACCCTCTTAGAAGCTGTGGCTGTCACACCCCATTAACTATATTAAAAAAAAACATTTTTAGCGAACAATATTTATATGAATCGATAGCCTAAACCTCGTAGATTCCATAGAAATGTTTTAAGCCTGATTGTGATATTTGGTGAAAGCACAGCCATTAAAAGTGAAAAATGGGGAAAATGAGATTTTGTTGGTTTCAAATCCCACAGTTTGGAGGTCTTTTGAAGCGGGATTTCTGAGGTGGACAAAAAAGGAGTAGTGCTTTGTCTTGAGTGCAAAAACGGATAGCTAATTCACCTATGGGACAAAGTTAATCATATGGAGAATGACCATTTCAATTAGGTAGCCTAGTATCTTGAATCTTCAGAATTCGCTCAAACTTTGTCTACAGGGGTTAAGACATGCTACTTATGGATATGATACGAATATCATGTTATCACAATTATCAGATTACTCAACTACGACCCCCTCCCCTCTTGACTCCTCAATACGACTTCCCCCCCCCCCCCCCCAGATGTGGCGTGCCACACCCCACGCTTGACCCTGGTTCATGAGCGTTTCCACATAGCAAACATTTGTCTAAAGGCAGTGGCTCGGGAAAGTTGCTACTGCGAGCTTCTCGCACCTACATGGCCTTCTATATCCGCTGAGTCCGGGACAATGCTTAGTCTAATAAGTACTTTTTGGAGTTTTCCGACCTTGAAGATTGCTGAGGGGCTGGACGAGCGATTCCTGCCAAAACAGCGATAGACTGCAGGAGACTGTAATAACTTCACCCATTTTGGCGGCAGGCTCATCGGCTCAAGCACCCAATCGCGACTCAGATGGCGATCGCTCGCCCATCCTCTCCAGCAATCTCCAAGACCATAAAAAGCACTTTTTTTTGATCAAGCACAGCCCTGGATAGCCACTGCTTTGAATCAAAAAAGAAAAGCTTTGGCTCAAAAAACTAAACTAAAACGACACTGATTTGTCTGATAAATTCTGACAGTGTTGCCAGCCATTACAGCTTGCTTTTGATGAGCAGTCTTCAAATCAGCGACAGTGGTTAAAAAGGTAGTCCTTGAGGAATACGTTTCTTTGCTTGCAAAAAATAAACTCAAGATAACAAAAAAAAAGAAGTCCAACGAAAAAATTTGAGGACAGAACTGCGTTGTCTTGAAAAGCTACGCACAATTTATGTTGTTTGTTAGACTAAAGATGTTTGTCTTGAGATTCATATCTGCATACGAAAATAGCTGCTATAGCATGCACTGTATGAACAACCACAAGATATGACGGAGAAGGAAAAAGGGTATCGCACATTACTTACAAAGGAACGATAATCGGTGTCCGTGGCCTTTTGAAATGAGATGTATACCATTACACTCGTCTTGGAACGCTGATTCCAAATCTTACTTCCGTTTCTGCTAATCGCTGCAAAGATGTTATCATGGACCGCGCAGAGTTTGGCTGCCAGCGAAAATTTGTCGAAGCGCCAACGGCATAGGTGCGTTGTGGTCGAGCGGTTAGTGCGATAGCCTCATGAGTTGATGCAGCTCTAGGTTCGAATCCTTTTGTGTTTTTCAGTTTTGCGTTGCCTCAATTAACCTTCCTTCACATCCTCAAGTTAAGTGAACGCCCATACTTTTGAAAAAATGTGGAATTTTGGAAAAAAACACTACTGTTTGCGCTAAATTGTATTCAATGGTCATAATTCGAGTAAACTTTCTCGAACAAGCTTAAATGAGGCAAAAGTAATGCGAAAGTAAAAACGCAAAGGATTTGAACCTACATCAACTTATGAGGCTATCGCACTAACCATTAGACCAGAACGTGGTCGCAGTAGAGGCCGTTTCAATGACCATATTTCCCTTAAGCGGCCAAACTTGGATCGAAATTCCTTCTATCTTCTTTCAGAGAAACGATTAGCAGAAACGAAAGTCAGATTCGGAATCAGCGTTCGAAAACGAGTGTAATGGTGTACATCTCGTCTCAAAGAGCCACGGACATTGAGTATCGTTTCCTTGTTAGACAATTAGCAGAAGAAAGCAGTCGACATGTTCTCAAAGAGTACTCTTTCACCAAGCAAACACAATACTATGCCAAAATTAGGGACATGAGAGCGTTGCCAGTACTTTCAGTTACTGTCCGGTGCAGATGATCGAAACGCTCTATTTAACTTGAAGATTTTGCTGAAACTTTTACAGTCTGAACCGATCAGACCGCCTTTTGGAGAGGGAGAAAGATTTGAGATGAAAAGAGAAGTGAAAGAAAAACAAAGAAGCTAGGTTCAGCAACTCACGTTAAGAGGATTCTGGATACGTTATACATACATCTGACGTTTCCGTTTGTGTGACGGCGGAATCGGAAGGAATATCAGACAATACCCATATCTCAATCTATAAAACAACATAACACCAACAAAATGATTGCATTGAACGAGTGCATTTTGACTGAGCAAGACGTAAGACAACGTAACGCATACTCATGGACAAAAAAGCACTATTGCGACGTAAATCTGCAAAAGTGAGGACAAAACTTCATACTCTCAGATTCCAAAGTGAATCATGCGAGTATGTTCGAGATACTGTAATACATCACCGCGACGCAGTCTTTAGTGAAAAAAGAAAAACAAAGCGAACCGTGCGAAGCCCTCTTTCCATGGGACTCAGTATATGAAAGCCAGCAGGATTGTAGGTCTCTTGATTCTCTCGATCAAGAAATTCGTTGAGTTTCATCATCTGGATAAATACAGTTATAAGAGTATGGTCCCTTATCGGCAAAAACACGTAACTACCTTCTTTTGATAAATCGTATCGGCCACTAATCGAGAGCAGTAGCATGTAACACAACCCAGGATAGTTTCAACGATAGTGGCAAAGCAAACCTGTGCGATTAAGCTATCAAAGTTTTTTGAATATTATGACAAGTGATAACAATGCCTGATATAGCAAAAGAATTCTAAGAAAACACACATAAGAAAAGGAAAACATGTACCTTTTCTGCTTCCGCAAAAATTGAGTTGATTGTATCCACCGTATTCTCCCACGTTTGCTCGGATATCTAAACAATAAGGCTACAAGTGCTGATATAAAAACAAAAAATCTAAATCCGAAAAATGCGAAACAAACAACAGAACCCTCATTTCACATCAAGAGTCTGCTGTATTGTATAACACAGAAACAGCACGATAAAAAGCCCAACCGAAAGTATTAGTATAAAGAAAATATTGGAAAAATCAAAACAACCAACCTTTCCACGAAAAAGTAAAGGATATTGTGTTTCGAAGTGCACATTGAGTCCATGCGCGTAATCCCTGGGTATGAAAATCTTGCGACACGATTCCAAACGTAACGCCTTCATTTCATGCACAGTTACGCCGTTTTTCGCAGATGACTGCATGGGAGAGGCCATGACCATCTAGAACATACTCTTGCCAGTGAATAGACAGTAAATGAGTAAAGCAGAAGTGAAATTACGCGGATGAAAGATAGAAGACAGCAAACAGCTGTATACCTCCGGAAACAGCTGCAGCGGTGTCAAAGAATGAATTCGCGCTGCACGGCTGAGCGAGCGACGCGTCGCGATGACAACAAATTTGCATCAGAAATATAGCGCGACAGCGCCCATGCCATAGCGTTGGGGATGCGTGTCATTTCTGCAAGGTTGGCCGATAGATATCTAATTCTGATAGTTTTTCTTTGACACTCTAAATATGACTGGCAAACTTAGCGTTTGATATGATCGAAGTTCAATCAAGAAAAATGGGGTGGCCAAATTTGCTTGGACAGTATTTTTTTAATGACGAGAAAGCCGTGCCTCTTCTGTAACCCTAAGTTCTCAGGTGGGGCCTCCTCAAATAAGTCCGGACTTATCTGACAAGATTCCAAGGTACAGTCGAGTAGATTTTCCGCTTAATATAGTGTGCTTGCACTGTAGGTGAAATGTGGTAAAATTTGCGCGTAAATAATTAGCCACGCCATAATGCCGGCATTCTGCGCGCGCAATTGGAAGGCGTCACAGGCATAGCTAGATATTTCTTCACGCGACAATTTTACCGCATTTCACCTACAGTGCAAGACTATATTGAGCAGGAAATCTACTCGACTGTAGTTATAAGGGAAAGAAAAAGTACTTAAATGAAGGGCCTTACGTGGGTCAAAAAGCGGTCTTATATGTAAGATTTTAGGATAACCCTTTCTTCCTGTCCACATCCATTCGAGGAGCAACCGAGCAGAAGTTGATGCGATCGCACAACCACTGCCCTTAACCAAAGCACCAACAACAAATGGCAAATGGGCAACCTTAATGACGTTAAATACACCCTCCTGCACTCAAGCGAATCAGAGATGAAACAAATGGTACTGGGCAGTTTAATGACGACAATACACTCTTGCTATCAAGCCATGGTCAGAGACGAAAGCTCGGCACGAGCTTCACTATAAATTTTAATATCCCGAAAAAGGTCTTTTCACCCGTTTCAAAGCTCAATTCGGTCTTATGGGTCGAGAAGGCCCAAAACTTGCAAAAAGATGGAAAGCAAAATCTGCCGGGACACCGCCTTCAAAGCGTGGACTCGGACGAAAACCCAGTTAACGACGACAAAACTGAGATTTTTTTCAAAATAAAAACTTTGAATAACAAATTCCCATCCAATTCTACAAAATTATCTGCTGAACGCAGTATCTTTCGAAACAATACGTCAATTCGCTCACAGGACTATTCGAATAAACGAGCAACTGGATATCATCGAATACTTGAATGAAATAATATTACACAATATTCGAATGTTCAAATATTCGAACACTCTTCTCAAAAAACTTCTCGAATATTGGAATACGAATAATTACTTTTTTTTTAAATTCCTTTAATATTCGAATAAGTTATTATACAGGGTGTCCGTAAATTATATATACACTGTTTGATCGTTAATATCTTTCCTCCCAACAAGGCTTTTGCCTTGCTTCAGGTATCCTTTTGTAGAGCTGGCTTCAGCTTAGATTTGCAATACAGAACGATCACCCACCTCTCTTCATTACTGTAGGATTACGGTAGAAACTCAAAGAGGGTTTTGAGCCATGAAAGGTCATATTTCGCATCAGAAAGGAAACAAAACAGCCAAGCTTTTACACCAGGCTAATTAGAGTTGTTGATTCTAACTGTAAAGTTCCCAACTTATTATGGTGCTTCTTTGAAGAGTTATGCCGGGTAAGAAGTAGCGGCCATTTTTTCAATGTTCTCAAGAACTGCGGTTACACCGTTTAGAAAGCTTCGCAATCTTGTGAATAATTGAGTATTGAACTCAGCGTTCTTAAAAACCCTATTACACAAGTTTTCACATTTTTTTTTGAAAAGTTTGAGACGGCAGCTTTTTTCACATTGACACCATAGTTTCAAGTTTCTACCGTAATCCTACAGTAATGAAGAGCGATCGTTGATTCGCTCCATACAGTAAATCTAAGTTGAAGCCAGCTCTACAAAACGGTACCTGAAGCAAGGCAAAAGACTTGTTGGGAAGAAAGATATTAACGATCAAACAGTGTATATACTTTACGGACACCCTGAATTTTCCAATTCGTCGAATGAACGATTTATTGAAATAAAAACTTTTATTTATTTGGCCATTCCAACCGAACAATTGGATTTTCTGGAACATTCGACTTATCGAATTCAGGTACTCGAATATTTCGAATAAATCATTCGAATACGAATACTCGGTTCCAACTATAATTTAATTCTCACACATTTGACAATAGAATGGCCTGGCTCTTTTTGACGCGGAGCTGCTTATTCCTCCGTTGATGATTTCTCATTAGGTAGGTGCCAGAGTAAGCGAATATTTTGTTCAAGTTGGGGTCCCGCGCAGAACTGGCATCACTAATCATTGTGGCATAATGCCAACTTGGCGTTGTGCCACAATGATTAGTAACGCCAGTTCTGCGCGGGACCCCAACTTGAACAAAATATTCGCTTACTCTGGCACCTACCTTAGTGTACACCTCCAACCGGATGCAGGCCAAAGCATTTCAGATAAAACAACGTGTCTGCTCCGCTGGAGGCTTTGCGAATGCACGGCGTTGGCATTTTGCCAGTTAGAGATCGAAGCAACTGAGGAAATGCAGGCATGCTTCATATCACAATGCGATTTGCTGTAAATGCGCTGCGTAAATTTGCGAGACAAACGTCCGCCATTTTAATTTCTGCCTGAACTAGTTTCAAGACAAACTGTAGAAGCTCAAACATCTCCTGCAATCTGCTTTTAAAACACATAAACGAGTTCATTTGACAACGCCACAGCCAATACACCCTATCTGAATGAACTACGAAGGATATAATCCTTGTCTCTAAACACTGAAATATCCCAAAGATTGAGTATTCATGGCGCCAAAAGCGATGCTTGGAATTCATAGTCAAAAAATCGGGAATGACGTCGCTGATCTTTGCCTGACAGGACATTAATTCAGCTTGTTAGTGATAAGCACAGAACATCTGCCATTTTCGACCAAAATTTTTTTTTTGCTTCTGGCATACGCACTATTTCGTATATATATATATATCCTCATTCCTCGTTGTAACAGTTCTGAACATTATCTGAAATTATTTGAATGTGCTGAGATATTTGTAAGATAGATCACAAAGTCCAAAGATAGAATCAGAAAAATGGCAAACATTTCCAGTAGTCTTCATCAGCGCTGGCGAAATGGTTTTTTTTATAGCTTAGAGGTTTTGCTTATACACTAATTTCGTTCTGAATGCTAAAGCTTGCAAACACTACCGAGGTTGATTGATCAAATACACATTTCAGAGGTTTTTCAAGCAAAGCAAATGGATTCGGAGCTGTAAGTTTTTTCTTCTTTGCAGTGTTGTAGAATAAATTATCTGCTCCCGATTCATCTCTTTTCTTACAGATCAAACTTTCTACATCAATTCTTATCAATAGGTGTCAGCACATTATAGTTGTATCATAGGCTTAATAATCCTCTGAAGTTATTTATATTATTTATAGAAGCTGCAAGTGTATCTTTAGCGTTTATAAATACGATGGCCGCGAAGCTAAACGGGTGAGGCAGTTTTTGCTAGAGGCTTAAAGACAGTTGATCGCCAAAACTGAACAACTCAGGATTTTAACGGTAGATTACTATTACTCAAGTATGCAAACAGTGCAATCCCTCTCGCACAGCATGCCTTTCCTGCCGAGAAAAGTCTTAAACTCACTCCTCTCGGACGAGTTGGTAATGCTTCTCTCACTATTGTAGGCTGCCCACAGCTATGCTATAACCGCTGAGTTCCGCAGCGATTCAGCGTCTTTAGCCTTGCTCCACTCGTTCAATTTGAAAGCGAAAGGCATTGGAAAACGCTCGTTTTAGACATTTTCAAGCTCTTGAAGTGGATTTTTGAATCAGCGCGTTGGAATTTGACTAGGTTAAGATTTGCCGAGCCACTGCATTTAAGTTAAGAAATATGAAAATTTCTTATCAAAAATACGAAGCTATCAATGCCTTACTATCCAACTGCTCTCAAATTATCGTAATCTATGTGCCCGAAATATACTACTATATATTGGGGTCATCAAAAAGTATTGAGATACATAGAGTATAAATATAAATAAACGTTAGCAAATTTCAAAACACCTTTTAGTCTGTTAGGAATTAGCCACATTTCGACGCGGGATGCAGCTATTTCCTAACAGCTGTTCAGGATGCAGGTTGGCGTGGAATAGAGAACGTCGGGCATTATCTCCACCATCTCTCTCTATCTATGTTGACAAGGGAGGCTCGAATGAGCCTGAGTTATGCTAGCGGATCAAGAGCGATGCTGTGGGCTCCCTATAAAGATTCGACCAATGCTGCGTAGACTGATCGTTTCTAGCGAGAACAGGACTAACCATTTTGAAGAAAAATGGCCAAGGTATCTCAGACATCATTACTCCAATAGCAAGCGAGCGGCCGACCTTTACCGCGCAACGCTTGCAGTAGCAACCGTGCATGCGCTCAGTTACCTGCACGAACGGGCCTTGACGACCGGGCAATCGCACATAAACCAACGAATGTTTGTAAGTTCGTCGCTGGTCGCCCGCACGGCGCGAGTCCCTGAAAAGTTACCCCGTAGGGACATGGCCTAGAAGAAAGGCTTGCCCCGTGAAATCATGCATCGCATACACTGAGGGCCATAATTGCTGGGCAACTCACCATAATAATATCTGGGGCATTCGGTAAGAGCCGAAGTTGGAAGTAATGCAGGAGGGAGCAAAGGTCTGCCGTCTGTGGGAGGTAATCAAGGGCGCGGGTGATATGGAGAGGATTTTGGCATGGGTCCAGGAAAGCTTGACAAGGTTATCGTGTGAGGACAAATCGTCATAACTTTGCTTAGAGAAACTCTCGAAAGTTAAGGTCAACATGTCTTGATATGGAAGTTGGAAGATGCCTACTGAGCGTAGGGATAAATTAAATTAGAGTCGTTCTAGTGAAAACAAAGAAACTTTTTTGGAGTTTTAATTTTCCAAAAAGTAAGGTTCCTTTTTCCTGAGTTTATTACAGGGTGCGGAAAAAGGTCCCTCAAAAAAAAAAAGGCAAAAAAATCGGCGTGAATCCCAGATTGTTCTGCTAAATTTGACATAAATCCTAAGATGTGAATGTATTCTTGCATTTTGCAAAAACTGGCTTCAAAATTTTGCAATTTCAAACGGCGGCGGATCCTTTTTCGCAACGCATCTCATATCAAATCTTGCAACTCCTTTTTACAGATGTGAAGGAAGTAAGAAGTTTTTTGTGAAATTCCTTTGTTTCCAACGTGGATTTGGAAAATCTTCTACTGCTCAAGGAATGTTGCAGTGTCTTCGAAATATGTTGGAAGTATCCGGATCGCAGTTGCAGTAGGGGAAAAGTTGGAAAATTGTTTAATGAAGTAGCGTCTGTGGCGCGACAGGGTACGATCAGAAAGCGTGGCACAGAAGCTAACTACCATCGTTTATTGACTCAAAATTATAATGTATACAAAGCCAATGCTCTTTTCCTCGATCCCCTTACTTTTTGTTGGTATCTGGAATTTCGAATCATAATTTGGATCCAATGTATTGAGCAAGAGCATAACTGATTAGCTCCTTTTTGATTTTTGGATTTTGTTGGGATATAATTTTCTTTGTTCAGACAAAATTTCAAGTCGCTGATTCACAATAAGTATAGAGTTTTAGAGAAGAGATTATGCTCTACATTATGCTCTGATCTTGTTTGAAACTGATATCACTTCTGGTGGTATAGTTACGGTCCAAAAGTGCGCCCAAACGCTGCGGCGCATCGTCGATGATGC